TGAAAATATGACCCAGGGTTTTTTATATTACGTGGTAAAGTTGCGAATTCTCCCATGTAAACAATGTAAATTTTTATTTTTTGTCGCAGTTCGTTTGAGCGTTCTACTGGGCCTATTGCCATGATATTTGCGGCCATCGACAGATGATATTCACTTAATGAGCCCGCTGTAATCAGATTTTGGAAATAGTACTCAATTTTTTTTTTCTTCTCATAGGAATAATCAGGGAGCTTCGACAGAGCACAGGGGAGAATTTCATGAGCTGCCCTGCGCCGTCCAGCCGTCAACAGCACGCAATGCGCACGACCCGGCTTTCATTATTACACTAGAGCGTTGAGAGTTCACTAATTACTTCACACGAACAGCGTGTAATTTTAAAAGTCGAAAATTTAAACAAAATGTATACGATACACGAGTTTCTCCATCAGGGAGCTCTCCCCGCAAACAATCATTCACCACACACCCGCCGGGAGAGGCGTGCGTGCTGCCAGCGTGAAACGCGCTTCGACGCCTACAAACCTAAAGGGCTACTTCACGCATTGCGCAATGCTTGAAGTATCCCTTTAAGTTTGTAGACGTCGGTGCGCTTTTTGAGCTAGCAGCACGCCGCGCCGTGCCGCGCCGCAGCATGCTATAAACTTGCCCACTATTAATAGGCCAGGGTGTTAAAATGTAGGCAATTTGACACCAAATTCGAAATTAGTGACTCAATATATAGCAGTGTCGAAACTTTCGTGATTTTTCAGTCATTTTCCGACTTAGGTATTTCTTCCTATTCTTGAGTTTTGGACCATGGTGCGCCGCGGGCGGCGGCCCGCTTGAAATTCTCCCCTGTGCTCAATCGAGGGAGCTTAGAAGGGGGGCAAAATTTGAAATTCCCCCACTTTGACATCCGTGTAAGAAATTTTAGCATTTTCAAGACTCCACCCTCGAAATGTATACTACAGCAATGTTACATGTTTGATGAAGATGGCTCACCGTCTTTAAAAATTGACCGTCGTTAGTTGAAACTTGAAAACTGTTAAAGTTTGCCAGCGCTGTTGCCAGTTTTAAAAAGGATTAAAACATAATTATTAGCGAATGATAAGTGAAAATTTTAACTCAGAGTGTGGGTCTTATTCGGTCGTTACATCAGACAGGTAAGATTGTATCGATATCGATTTTTGGTTCAAAATGTAAACAGGGCTTCAAAAGTCAACCGAGTAATCCGTGTGAGCTGGTTTTTGTGATGGATTTTTTACTTTTATGAGTATCTCATGGCAATAAAACGTGAAATTGTTAGGAATTTTATCTTTTTTAACTTAAATTCTAAAATTCGTCAATTCGTAAAATCAAACCACAATCGGATACGATCCATTTGAAATTGCTCCGTGTGGAAAAATAAAAATCGATATCTTTGACACCCAAACTGGTTATTTCCCTGTGCTGAAAAATTTTAGTTTTCATCTAAAGTCATATTTTGACTGCCTCTTCATTTACTTTACTTCAATGTTAAAGAAGAAATTTAGAAAAGAAACGATAAAGAGAAAAGAAAACCGTTTTGAGTATATTACGGAGACGAATAACACCAACTCCGATGATTCTTCCTCAATTTCTCGTTTTTCCTCCTCAGAGTTGTATAAAATATGAAAGAGTATTCAGGGACAGAAGAGGGGCGAAGGGGTAAATGAGCCGGAGCAACGAACGTGAACGTCACTCAGGCTTCTCATTAATTATTCATTCACAGATGAATATTTTGTGTAAATTGGCCACCATGATGGAGGCGCTGTTTCTAGACCTCTGTTTCAACCGGTGCGACACGAAAATGAACTCAGGCAAGACTAGAGCTGATTTAGGACTCTCAACAAATTATTCATTTGATGAGCCTAATTTCAAAATTTTCTCGAGTTTTCTTTGCCTCCCTCAACTAGCTTCCTCTTTGATGGGCTGTATTTTCATACAAAACGATCTGACGTCATAAGACTCTGAATGACGAAAGAAAATATGTGAGTCTTAATCATAAGGTGCGACATAATTGCAATGCATCGTCAATGATCTATTCCCGGCTTTGTTTGCCATTAAAGCGCCTGCAATTTGGGGATAGGCAAAGTACGTAGCAGTTACGCTTTTGAAGTTGGAGGATGAACACAACGTCTACATTGTTCACATCGTCGCTGCTCACCGCTCGCCAATGATGATTGAATCGATTTCGTCATTAAATTATCATTCAGTTTATTTATTTTTGGCACAAAACTTCTAAAAATTTAAATCCTCTATGATTTAAATTTAAATTAAAACTTAAAATTGTTTTAATTACGTAGTTAGTTAATAAATTAAGACGATCAGCGAGGAGGCTATTTACGTTAATCTAAACGTATCGAATAACTGATATACTAATAACACTCGCTGTGTCTTGCCTCTACGTGCTTTTGAGAATAAAACTTGGGTCTAAAACTTTAGTATCTAGTTATTTATTTGCTAAATCATCTAATAACTGCACATTAAAAAATACTATCATGTAAAATCTAAAAAAATAAATTTCTAAAAAAATAAAGTGATTGAAGCATTTGCAACGGCTGATGGGTCATTTTCTTTCATCTGAAACTCGATGAATAAATTTGATACTACTACAGCCTTACACGTCAATATTAACATCGCTATTTTGTTGTTTTTTTGTTTGTTTTTTGTTTCGGTTTTCGCATTTTGGTGTGAAGTTTTCAAGGTGACCTGACAATTTCACACCCCAATTTGTTTATTACGGTCATCGATCGTTCAATACCCTTCGAACAGAAGGACAGCAACTCAAGAACCCACCATGCTAATATTCTGTTGTCTTAAGATGAGAAGTTCGCTCTTTTATGACCGAAGGGAATGCTTTTAATAATTAATGTCCCTTGTGCGTTGAGAAACAAGACATTTCTGACGGAGAGGTGTTTGACCTCGAAACTTTTTATGACACCATCAACAATATGAATGTTGACATCCAAAGATCTTGAGATTTGACTGATAGGAGGAGCTAGAGTGTTTTTTGTTGTTGCACGATGTGGTAACAAAAATGGCACGGCATAGACTGTTAGCGAATTTTGACATAATAATGGTCTCAGTGTATAGAATTTCAAGTATGTTCAAACTTAGCACATATGCAACATATCACTAATTCACGTTGTAAAATCATGCACCTGGGCATGGTATGGAATATGTGCCATTTTTAAAATACTTCGCAAGTAATCGCAGTATCTGCTATAGTGATACAAACATCATATCCTTAGTCCTAGTCTATTTCTCGATACAAATGTAATGTACAAAAATTTTGAGTCATGCGTTAGCCCCTGATAGCTTTGAATCGATGGAATTATACGTCGTCGAAAGTTGCACATGCTCCCTCTGCTACACGTTATCAGAGGACTTCTGAGTTGACAAAAAGTTATAGCTATGAGAGAAATTTTGAAAAAGATAAATAGTCCACTGTCTTTTTTTAAAACAAACGGTAAAAATATAAAAATTCAAGGAATTGAAGGTTACATCTAAAAATTAACGTCACTTGGTCGCATGATGATAATCACCACTCATTGTTAGTTTGTCGGAAAAAATTATCATGAGCAATTGAGCATCATTAAATTCTCCGAGGGTATTGCATTATCGAATATACTCTTTCATACATTTGGTTCATTTTTGTACCGATGAAAGGAGTAGATATGCTTTATTAAACAATTTTTTGCAATTTTATCGAAATCATCTGAAACTTTCAAAGAAAAATATTCGTAACTAACCTTAAAGACAGTACTTTATTGAAAGACATTTAGCAATATTCGAATGTTCACACGGCGTTTTTCCCTAGCATGTCTATGCGTGTCCGTCAGTTTAATGATAATCATTCCTTAAATAGAAGTAATAGGCCCTCAGGGTACGTAGAAACATTCAGAACACAGCCAATCGGTGAATACAACTCAATTAACCTCAGCGTGAGGTTGGGATGCATCACCAAATTTGAAGGCGAAATAACAGCGATTTCGTTTCTAAGCGATGCGGCAAGGCGCTCCAATTGTATGCTGTATAATTGTATATATATCATCCTTATTCCACGGCAAAGGAGAATTTGTAGTTTAGGGACGAAAACTATGCTGTCTTGCTGAGGAAAAACGTCGTATGAACCTTTGGCTGTTGCCAAGTATGCTTGATAAAACAAAGGTTTACTGGCTCATTCTTTAATTTATCAGAGAGGTTTGATCGCAATTCTATCGAAGTCATCTGAAACTTTCAAAGAAAAATGTTCATAGCTATCCTTAAAAATACTGCGCCTTATTAAGAGTCATTTTGCAACATTTGAATATTCATACGTCGTTTTTTCGTGTGTTTGTCAGTTTAGATGGCACACCGGTATGTTAAATGGCTGTTCTCCCGAAGCCAAGTTTTTGAGCTGCAAATTTCAGAACGCCTCAACCGGAGTTTGTTTCAACATTATCGGTTGTAATTTGTCCCTAAATGTTCGCAGAACACTCTTTTTTTGCTCTGGAACGGATTCTTCAATTTTGAGCTTCTGTGGATCAACGTCTCTTGATCAGATACTTAGAAAACCTCAACTTTTCTGGTTTCGAACCACCCTTGTTTAATGCTCTTTTTCCTTGGGTCTTGCAAAACTGATGAAACATTTTGAGCGTATATGTCAGATGAAAATTTCTAGAAACCTATCACGCTCCCGGAAATTAAGAAAACTGCACTCCCGTGTTAAGGTAAAACGACGTTTGAACTTTTGAATGTTGCCAAATTTCCTCTGATATAATATATATTTTCGAGAAAACTTATGTACACTTTTATTTGAAATTTTCAGAGACTTTTGCTCGACATTGCGAATAAAAATCTATAGAAAATCCGAACAAAAATATGCATCGATTTTAATGAAAGCTCGTTTTTATCAGTACATACATTTGGCAATATCCGAAAGTTCTTACGACGTTTAACCTTAGTGCACGGAATGGTGCAATTTATGGCATTGCTGATGCAGCGCACTAGTTATCTTTTCGGGGAATATTAAGCCTTAACCTGATTAGAGGCCACGACGCCGGTATAAAAGCCAATTTAGAGGGGGGCGCCAGATTCAGGTGGTGAGCTTTCCCTTCATGATGTGGTCGCCTCTGCTTGTGTGCTTGCTCGGTGAGTGTTCACGATTTAAAATTCTATTGCGTTTCGTAACTCACAGTGAACGAGGCTGACGGTTAATTATCTTCACACACGAGCAGCATCCGTTTTTCCGTTCGAAACTAAACGAATATGCAGCCTCAATTTTCGTTCACGTAGATAGGGAGAAAAAAATGATAAAATTCAGCGAGCTTCAAACACGGGGCATATTGAAGTATGAAAAATACATCTAAAAGAAACAATTGATTTGCGAACTCACTACCTCATTTTACATTAGTGGAAAAATAGAAACCATGTTCAATACATTGAAGTTGAATCATTTTTCTTTCAACGTCTTGACTAAGGATTTCATGCAAACATATTTTTTGGTTATTTTTTTGAAATTTTCAAACTTAGCGATCAAGTTACATGGTTCTCTGCGTGAAAGTGAAAAATAATTGAAAAAAAAGAAGCCTAGCGGTTGAGGTTTAGGTGGTTAACTATATCTACTACTCTCTGACATGAGCTTTGAGATCAATAAGAATACGTGCATGGCAGGGCTTATGTCACTATAGATATAGTTCCTTTTCATTTAAATGCGTCCACATGATCGTCAAAAGTTGGCAACAAAGGTGTCCCATCCATCAAAGTCGCTACCATTTTTCTGGGTTTTAATAGTCTACATGAAAGCCCTGCATTTCCATGGTCTCCCGATAAAGGTATTCTACCGTGGTCAAATAAAATGAGAGAGAATTTCAGTTCGAGGAAGTTCCGTGGAACGACAAAATAATTGTGAAGGGATCCGACCCCAACGCCTAATTTGCGACGACATAACGGGGTGGTGAGTCAGAAGTAATGGCGAGTTCCAATTAATTTCTCGGGGGAATCGATTGCTAATGATCGCCTATAGAGAGCCGCCTCCGCCTTCCTTTGATGCCAAACCAAACGCGTGGGACTTTGTAAAGTAAATCCTATGCAGCCCGCATTTCAATCTAGGTCAATAATTAGATACTAGTTGGTTTTCACGGTGGTTATGACTGTTTCTGGTCGAGCTTTTAATCCACGGGAGCAAATTTCAAATAGCCCGCGCTGAGCAGAAAGGAGCCAAACCACAGCAGCTATTGCCAAATTGGACCGCGTTCAACAGAAAGGAACCAAGCCACATCAGCTGTTGCCAAATTTATCTGGGAAATTTAATTTTTTGCGAGAGAACTTTCAGGCGGGTTTCTTTGAAATGTTAAAGGAATTTGCTTCGTACTAGGGAGAAAATTCACTGAAATTTGCACAAAAATCCGCACAATCGTTTTCATGTCAAAAATTAAATTGCCGAATTATATTTGGCAATAGCTGATGTGGCTTGGTTCCTTTCTGTTTAACGAGGTCCAATTTAATTTAATCAAAATTAATTTAATTTAATGTTTTTCATGAAAACAGTTGTGCGGGTTTTCGCACAAATTTCAGCGAATTTTCTGGGTAGTACCAAGCGAATTTCTTAAAAATTTCAAAGCAATCGCACAGACGCTCTCGTGTAAAATATTAAACTGTCCTGTTAAAATTGGCAATAGCTGATGCGGCTTCGTTCCTTTTTGCTAAACGCGGTCCAAAAGTCGATGGCCAGAGTGCGAAACCGCGTATCTCCATTGCGGTGTTTCAAATGCCCAATGCCAGCAGTTATTAAACCCCCCTCCTCCTCCAAAAACCAAAAAAAAAAACTCCAAAAGGGCTCATTAGACGGACGATCTAGATACATATAATATAAATGAACGTTTCAATAAATTAGACGAAAAATTGATCGGGAGAGACATTGATCTACATACAAGCGGTGAAACTCTCAAACCACGTATCTTGTTTGCGGTATTTTAAATCTCCGCTCTGATTTTATTTTTTTAAAAAAGGTCAAAGCAACACTACTCCTTGAAATGTTTTCAAAATTCGTTTCGCACAGAGAAGAAATATCCTGGAAATCTTAAAGAATCGACGTTGAGTAGCTCTCCATTTAAAAAATACAGCGTGACAGGATGTTTGCAACGTTGCGAACCGAGATACGTGGTTTAGTAGTTTTATCCACGGTATGTGACATTACACAGCAGCCTTTATCGGCCATAAATTCAGCAAGGTCACATTCTGATGACATCAAGCCTCTATTAACGTTACATAATTATTCTTAATGATTTTTCAATTAAACAATCACTGTCTCGTCCTAAAATTTGATTTTCAGCTATTTTAAAATACATTTTTTATGAACTTCCTTATTTTCTTTGTTTTTGTTTCAGTTGCAGCTACTAACTGCGAGTACAATCATGACACCAACATTAATAAACGGGACCAATACTTCCAGCAAAGCCACAAAAATCTGACCAGCGTTCCATCCATCAGCAACTCCACAGGAAATGATGGCGGCCACAACGATCTGGTCGCTGGATTTGCTGATCGCAAACCATTTGGACATTTTGAGACCCACCCTTCCGGTTTCTCTGATTCCTCTATTTCTCCCGACTCTTTTAATTCTGTCAACAATGAAACATCTGGATGGATTCCACAACGTCCTGATGATGCTATAATGAAACAGTTTCTAAAGTTCAACACTTCAGATAGTATCATGACGGACCTCCCCATTAAGCGGCTTAGGACCAGGAATGACAGTAATAATGTTCACTCTCATTACCTTCACCGACGAGATCTAACCTCAGTCACTTCCCTCATTATTGACCTTGAATCGCTCGGTGCTGATAAAAACAAAAACGTCACCTCTACCCCTAAAGAATCTGAAAAGAGCAACTCAAAGTCATACATCAACGGAAAATACGATAGTATTTCGGGGAATAATATAACGAGTGACAGTCCAACAATTCCTTCCTCTAAATCTTCTAGGTCGAGTGGTTCATGGTCTACCTCTAGTAGCAGTAGCTCAAGCAGCAGTAGTTCTAGCAGCAGCAGTAGCAGCAGTAGTGAAGAAAAATTAAGAAATGCTAACTATTCTGGTAGGATGGAATGGCAAAATCATAAAAAGCATCGTAGTAGTTCTAGTAGTGGTGAGAGTAGTAGCAGCAGTAGCGAGGAAGAATTAAGAGACGCAAATTATTCTCACAGAATGGACAGGGTAAAGCATAGAAATCATAGAAATTATGCAAGAATTGAATATTTTAACAATATTTACTGATACTAAGAAAAATATTTTCCACTTTTTCAAATGAAATAACCAATTTTTAGTTTGAGCAAATTCACCTGCTTTTAAATTAATTCAATCCAATTGAGGTTTTAAAATTAAATACAATTAATCTCAATCGGGCGAAGCTGTTAAATGTTTTGATTTTAAAAATGGAGCTTTCTACTACACCCTCCTTGTTATTCTAACAACTTTTGATTCACTTGTATCATTACCATGAATTCTATCAATTCTATTTTTGTAGTATATGTATGCATAAGAATATAATAGAAATACAACAAAAGACAGTTCACTGTACTTATTTATTTTCATTTATGAAATCTGTGATAGCTCGTTGTGAGAGTAAGATAGATCATTTTTGAATTTTCAGTATTATTAAAACGATAGACTGAGAAAATGTGGTCTTCAATCGCTGTTAAATATTTTTTTTTTATAAAAAGAAAAAAAACTCTTTTCAACTATCTTCTTACAAAAAACGAAGATAAAAGACGAAATCAATATTTGGAACTTGCGTCGCAGAAAATTAGCGACAATCCAGCTTGAAGCGCAATATGCTCATTTAAATGAGTCAACATGCGCCATATTTGCGTTAACTTTCATGTTTATCTTTTGTAATTTTATTTAAGTTTCGAGACAAAGGCAAAAACAAAAATCAAAACTAGTCGTAGATTTTACATGTATATTTGCGCATTATTGTACTTGAAACTGTATTATAGCTAATCGGTATTTAAATAAAATGATCATTTTTTCATGTTTATGTCGCCCTCAGTGGGTACAGTCACGAAACCTTCCAATGATGATTTTTATTGACGACATCCATTTTGATGAATTTTTGACGATTAATTTCTTTTCTTTTATGTATGCAGTTATGAAAGGTAGCTGGGTACTTCTTATTTCCACGATGAGCGGATTTAAACCTTATTGAGTTACTTTTTACAATTTATTGTAAGTAATAACTAAGCGGTGGAAATAAGTCTATAAATGGTCATCAATGACGAATCGCAAATCCAAACGGCGAAGAACTTTTTAGAATTAGCACGCTTATCAATTCCTCATAAGAGCCCCTCGGGACCTGAGGATAACTATTCGCACATACCTGTGGTTTTTGGCCTATTCCTCTATTTGAAGGCGATTGTTCCGTCAATGTCTTTTTTATAATTTCTTGCTTTTAGTCTTTTGCCTCAGCCATCCTCACTGTTGGTGGTACTTTAATTTCGATTTGTCGCACTAATACTTTATTGTCTCAATCTCTCTTTTTAAAAGATTCTTCTAATTTGTCAGAGCATACTGTAAAATTTTTAGGACAGAAGTATTATTACACTGATTTCTTTGAAACTAAGGTGGATCCTAGTTCTTTCAGGTGGAGTCTACGAAACACTTTGGTAAATCAAATTTAAAATCAAATGTAAAGTGAGCTATTAAAAGTTAAAAAGTTTTTAAAAATGAAGATAACTTGCATACTTTTTTCTCAAGAGGAAAATTGTTTACGATGATGGAACGATTGAAACAAGTATTGGATTTTCCAACGTCTAAAAATTCTCATCCTACCTGAAATGGAAAATTATTCAACAGCAGCTTTTCAAAAATTCCTTAATTTTTTTCTTTTTTCCAATATTCCCTTTATTTTCTCACTTCCTCTTATTTTAGTTTTTTATTCCTTATGCTGTTTTCCACGCGAAAATTGTAAGCAACAAGGTTAGTTCAGTTTGCTCCAAATAAATGATGAGAAAAATTATATTGAAACACAGAAATCGAGGTACGAGTTTCTCTAGTTCCGTCGTCGGTTCGTGAAAATTAAAGTGGGATGCAACTGATTCCCTATTGATGTCGCCTGAAGGGTGGTTGGAGGTGGAGGGGTCACCATCTAGTTTTTGTCTTTCTCTGTGCAAAGATTACTGTTACGTTGTGATGAAAGTTTTGTAGTTAAACGAAGCCACCAGTTCAAAGTTTCCTTGCGTTATGTGCCAAATATGCGAGGTTTGCGAATATCGAGTGAAGAAGGTGCATTGGAAACCGTTTATAAAAAGTTAGTTTGAGCGCGTGTGCCCTCCCAGAGAAAGATAATATTTTGCTGATGAATCACTCGCTTGAGTAAAAAAGTTATCGCGAGTTCGAGCATAGTAAGCATAATGTGCCTATTCTTTGCCCATTTAATTAGAACGTCACGGTCAATGATTTCTCGATTCGCCTAGAAAATCGGAGGCTTAATGTGACAAACTGGTGGCTGGTGGACCCCCCACCCCCTCTCTCACCACTCAGCATTTTTGATCGTTTCGTCGCTCCTCTGACGTAAAGGCAAAGGCGTACCTCAAATTCCACGTGAGCCTTGTTCTCCGTATAACTTTATGCTTTCCGGGGCTCATGTAAAAATCTCAGATAAGCCCTCACCTCAAAGCAGTGACGATTTAGCGACTATTCCACTCGATTGAATCTTTACCTCATTTGTAACTAATTATGTAGAGAAGACAAGCTCCCCGAGATGTCGTTTTTAAATTTCGTTCTTTATCCACCTACTAAATGAATTCAAGCAAATTTTCTTCTCTACTCAACGCAAATCGGTGATATAAATTCTAGGGACGAATTAGCTAATTTACTTGGAAAATACTATCATTCGACCAGAATGATTAATCAGAGTTAATATATTCTACCGTATTCAATCAAATGTTTAGATGTTAAATGAATTCTGTCTCTTTTTCAAACTAAATTTTTGTGACAGATTCAGGCAAAATGTGTCTCACATAGGGAGAAGATATAACAAATACATCCAAGCTCATATGGGTGAATTTTGAATTATTTGTCGTAGAGAACATCCAACAAATTAAAAAACTGACCGTTTGGCAGCAATTCAAAGTTTGAAGATGAAGCATTAAAGTTCTCCAGCAATGTTGCCACCGTCACGGAGCAATTCAGTCAAGATGCTCATATCATGATCATTGAAGGGATCTATGGATGAAACCTTTGACTTGCTATTGTTGAGAAAAATATACAGCGTTTAGACATGAAGCATTAAAAAATAAATAAATAAATCGAAATTATTTAAAAAGTTTTGCCGATTTTTCCGCTTCTCTTTCTTTCGCAATTCTTAAAAACCTCCGTGATTTTTTTCCGTGCCCGGAGTATTCTATGAAAACTCCAAGGATACGTAGATTTTTTCCCCTTGAAAAACGTAACATATGAGCAGAGATTTTAAAACACCGCAAACGAGATACGTGGTTTGGTAGTTACACCGTCGATATGTCTAACGACGGACGGAAACTTTTATGCTCCTCACTGGAAAAAAAAAAACACATTGGATCTAGAGCCCAGACTCTTAAAAACATCGACAAGAAAAAATACTCTTGATTCAATCAGATTAAAGCTTAAATCAAGAACCAATCCTCTTAATTCGAGCGGATTTCCTTTTGATTTAAGCTTAAATCTGATTGAATCAAGAGTCCTTTTTCTTGTCGATGTTTTCAAGAGTCTGGACTCTACATCCAATGTGTTTTTTTTTCCAGTCCTTGGATAAGACTCACAAAGCTAAGTAATTGTTTGCTGTACATAGCAACTTATTGAGCATTTTCTTTCGTCAAAATGACAAACAGATTGACAAACCCGGAGTAAACTGCTCAACTTTTTGCTAATACACGAGAAACATAGGACGTTGGTAAATGTTGAGTCCCAAAAGAGAAAACTCTCTGCCATTCGTCGTTTCCCATACGAAAAACGCAACTACATTTTGACGTTACTGAAATGTTGCTTTAAAGTTGATTCGTCAGCTTTTTGTTTACCGTGATCCAAGTCACTCTTTCTTTTTACTCTGTAAAATTAAATATAGCTCCAACATTTAATCTAGTGGGCTCTTATCGATGACCTATGTCGAATTAGCTGTAATATACTACGTCGATATCATGAGCCGCCAATTTGCGGTTTATGTTTGGACGGTTTTTACAAAAGTTACCACGCTAAAACAAGCAGAAACGGAATTCACCTCCCTCCCCCCCCCCAAAAAAAAAATAAATCCCTGTTTGAAGAAATTCCGAAGAATGATGAGTATGCACAACAAAAAAACATGAAAGTATTTTTATTTGCATATATTTATTCGAATTGAGATGGATTCATGCTGGGACTCAAATTTTACGTAAATCTTCTAAAACTATAAAAGAGAGGTCCCAATTTTGTACCCAATGTTTCAGCGACTTCCCGAAGGCGGATTTCCTTGAAACTTTGTACGCATGTGCGGTTCGTGCTGAAGGGGTGCAATTCGTCGTCCGATTTTCGAAATTTTAATTCTAAGGGTTGAAAACACGCTAAAAAAGGGTGACTCGTGTGTTAGAGCGGTGTTCCGCGATCGATCGTCGTCGTCTGGTCGTCGTGGTTTCCCTTCTTTTATTGCGTCTCGATCAGCTGTTTTTTCTGTCTAATTTTGGAGATTCCGAACTGGAGCAGTGTTGCCGAAATCACGAAATCTGTAATTTCACGTTATATTTTCATATGTGTTAAGAATGTTCTGCGTTCATTCTTGAAAGTTGATGTAATTAGAGGATTGTAAATTGTTCGTTCTCGGTCACCCGATGACTCGGCTGCCCGAGGCGTTCGTCGTCATGGACATTCGTCGTTTATGAAGAATTCCGATTTTTTCGTACAGTGCGTGTCGTCTCTTGAATTTTGTTAATATTTGTCGTGTATGAAGAATCCCGAATTTTTAGTAAAGTGCGCGTATTCGTTTTAATATTGAGAATGGATCGGAGTCGAAAACGTGGGCGTCCGGCGAAGCGTGGCAATGTTTCTCGCAATTTATCCGCGCGACGCAAAGTGCGGCATGATGGCTATCTCAGTGAGATGGATAATGTACGACGTAGGGTTGAACAGGGAAATAACCTCAATTCATTTCGGCAGAGCACTGATAATATTATCGAAAATGATTATCCGGAAAATAATTTCGGACTTTTAAATGTGAAGTGCCAGTATTGTGATGGAAAAATTATTGAAATTTTATTTTTCCATCGAGAAGCTGGTCATCATAAAACTTAAATTCTCCATGATTTTTCGTATTCGATAGCAGAAAATTTGGTTCAAAATTTAAAGTCGTAAATTTGGATTGTTTCTCATGGAAGAGATGATTTAAGATTGGAAATTATGAAACACCGCAACGGAGATACGTGGTTTCGCACTTCAGTCGTGCGATACGGACATCCATCAAGTTTAAATAGTTGCATCAAGTCCCCATCACCGCAGACCAACGCGTTTGTCGATCGAATCAACTACAGGTAGTATGAGCAGGGGGTCAAAACGCCTTCAATTTTTTGNGATATGTCTGACGACGGACGGAAACTTTTATGCTCCTCACTGGAAAAAAAAACACATTGGATCTAGAGCCCAGACTCTTAAAAACATCGACAAGAAAAAATACTCTTGATTCAATCAGATTAAAGCTTAAATCAAGAACCAAGCCTCTTAATTTGAGCGGATTTCCTTTTGATTTAAGCTTAAATCTGATTGAATCAAGAGTCCTTTTTCTTGTCGATGTTTTCAAGAGTCTGGACTCTACATCCAATGTGTTTTTTTTTTTCCAGTCCTTGGATAAGACTCACAAAGCTAAGTAATTGTTTGCTGTACATAACAACTTATTGAGCATTTTCTTTCGTCAAAATGACAAACAGATTGACAAACCCGGAGTAAACTGCTCAACTTTTTGCCAATACACGAGAAACATAGGGCGTTGGTAAATGTTGAGTCTCAAAAGAGAAAACTCTCTGCCATTCGTCGTTTCCCATACGAAAAACGCAACTACATTTTGACGTTACTGAAATGTTGCTTTAAAGTTGATTCGTAAGCTTTATGTTTACCGTGATCCAAGTCACTCTTTCTTTTTACTCCGTAAAATTAAATATAGCTCCAACATTTAATCTAATGGGCTCTTATCGATGACCTATGTCGAATTAGCTGTAATTTACTACGTCGATATCATGAACCACCAATTTGCGGTTTATGGTTTGGACGGTTTTTACAGAAGTTACCACGCTAAAACAAGCAGAAACGGAATTCATCTCCCTCCCCCAAAAAAGAAAATAAATCCCTGTCTGAAGAAATTCTGAAGAAATTAGTATGCAAAACAAAAAAACATAAAAGTATGTTTATTTGCATGTATTTATTCGAATTTAGATGGATTCATGCTGGGACTCTTATAAAGAGAACAGATTTTTATTATTCTATTTTAACCTAATATCGGTTTTTCATACGCACAAAGTTCCAATCAATTGATATTGTAATTAAAAGTTTTATTTAATATTTACGTAACATTTGAGTCCCAGCATGAATCCATCTAAATTCGAATTAATTCATGCAAATAAAAATACTTTCATGTTTTTTTGTTTTGCATACTCATTATTAGGTCTGGGCCACCCTACATTAAGAATTTTAAAGCATGTACAGTACACCTATATAAATCCCTCCAACCGTTATGTAAGCAAAGAAATCATACAAAATGGAACAAAGTTGCAGGAGATCACTGATGTTCTGATTAATTGACTCAATGGACATCCAGGTAAATTCCTGTACTCGGCTCCAAGTTTTCATCGCGTTTTGCAATGTCATAAGTAATTTTTATAAATCAAGCACATAGTGATTGCCAATCAAAGTGTGACCAGATTCAATGTCTACTTCTCTGAAGCGTAGGGTAGGTTTACAAGTAACGGAGTCAGGCAAAATTTGCCTTAAGGTAAGAACTCTTTTTCTGTATTAGCGGAAAAACTGGATAAGCGGTTAAAAAATTTCGATGTTTTTAATGCTTCATACTGTACGCTGAGATTCAATCGAAAAGATGAGTTGCCAGACGAATAAATATGATAATAACTTGGAGCGATTTTCAGATGACGGTGTTTTTTCACTTACAGAGAAGAATTTATTCAAACTTTGGCCTGTCAAAGGCCTGTACCCTTGTCGCAAAGTTAGTATCATCATCGAGCTTATCCCAGCGAAAGTCGACCGTCACGTTCCGGAAATATTCGTGCGGATACTTTTTGCGCCAGTACATGGTTACCAACACCCAATTCTTGATTGGTTCGTTCACCCCATCATAGGCCCAGAGCCCGTCCTCATCTTGCTTCAGCCTCGCCGACAGGAAATCGATGCTGGGTCGATTTGGGTAGATCAGGAAGAAAGTGCCGTCCTTTCTCTTGATCAACAGGTTTGATTTTAGCTGAGCGTGGCCCTCATTAGCGCTTCGTCTCTCTTGAACCAGAGGAAACAAGTCCGGCCGCAGCTTGGAATATGAGAAAATGAAGGATGTTAGTTCGTCCGGTCGCGTCAGGTCCACATACCTGAACAATGAACATGCAGGAGTGAATTTAACTAAACGTCCGAATGGGCCAATAGGGTGCGACTTATACGAGAAATTAAAAATGATGAATTTTGAAATTGACAAGGGACCCCGCCAAAACGTTCCTACTAGTGTAAAAACAAACGTTGTAGAACAGTTATGCATTTGGTCAACATTTAGAAGTCCCGACGGGCCCTTAAAATTACAAAATTCGGCTAATTTTCGCATTTTTTCATCAATTTTGGCAAATTTTCTCAAGCCTCACGGAGAGTCCTAATTGATAAATTTATTCATAATGGGCAGTACATAACCTAAAATGCACCCCATCCTCCGCTTTAAGCCCTCCATCTCCAACCCCCCTCCCTTAACGATCCGATATATATACACTCTTTATAAACTATACGCTATTTTGGTAGTGACCAGAGATCTAAATTAACACTGCTCAATATGGGTTAAAATGTGAAAGATCCAGGGTAGTTTTTAGCGCTGAGTCCGAAAATGACCTCCGTTATGCTGGATTGGGTCGATTATCCCCGGAAAAATCAGGATTATCCCCAGAAAAATCAGGATTTTCTTTGAAAATCGAGCTTTTCCAGTGAAAAATCAATTTTCCGGAAAATCCATGCATGATGGAGAAAAGTTAAGGTCATTTTCGGATTTAGCAGCTAAAATTACATGGTAAATCATATAATGCACGACTATTAAAGTTTCCGTTCTGTTCCAAAGATCGAGGTTTTTCCGGATAAGTGCCCCTTTCCGCCCATGTAGCTTATGTAATAGGGGCCAATCAGCATAGTGGGATAAAAAAAATTGAAATGATGTTGCAACATGATGCATTGAAATAAAATTGCAATATTTTTAGACTATTTCGTAAAAAGCTCCGATTTCAAACGATTGAGAGAATGAGTTCCATGTACTTAGAGGACAGGCAATTTGCGATGCAGCCAAAAATTGCAATTAATATCAATTGTATTGCAACAGTTTTCAATATATAAAAATTCCTCCCCTTCAGCGATAGACATACACGACGGAGCAATTCAGTAACACTGATTTTACCATGTAATTACAATATGTAAATTGCAGCTTGTGCAATTAAAGGAATGGAATCAATAGTGAATCCGTAAGAAAATCTAGCTTCCATTTACAATTTTTCCCGAACTGAATCCATGTGTCAATTCTTTCAGGAAGGTGTCTTGGATAAGTGATAGTACTTTTATTTTTTAAGTATTCGATTAAGGTAACTGAACTTGGTAGAAAAATAAAGGTTTCTTCGATGCTATTTTTTACGAGGTAGCTCCTCCTTGCTAACGGAAAAAGTGGCACATGATCCAACAGCTGACCACAAAAACGGCTATAAGGCTACTTATAAGGAATTTTGTGAGTTAATTAACAGGAAAGCCGTGTCGAGACAACCGGACTGCATTTTGCAAATAGGAAGTACATTTTGTGGCTCATCCACAAAAACACTAATGTCCATAGGGGAACTAATGGCCCATACGTTGTTTCTTAACCGAGCCAGGAATTGTAGTTCCAAATTGCAAAATGCTGTCCGACTATGCTTTACACTCAATACGATATTACCAAACCACATTTACCTTTACTTGTATTACCTAAAGAAGTATCTGAGGCTTCCCGATAAGGCGTCGAAGCTATTGTTTGACTTGTCGAACTTTTCCAGGGCTTGGTGGTAATTGACTACATCGGCTTTGAGGTCTGTAATCTTGTAACCTAAGTAATCGTCATCAAAGTAATCAGCTCTGCTCTTGACTTCAGAAAAACTTAACTGAAAAAAGGGATACGAAGCTTTAATACGAATAAATCTGTGAGGGTATTTACAAGTCATTATATGTATTTAGGGAGCTTTTTCGAAGGTAGAGAGGAAAGAGAGCATGTCCGGATTTACCTACTTGCCGCCCATGGGCCGCCTTCATTTTGCCGCCCTCTTCTCATTCATTTTTAAACATCAATAAAAACCATCAAGTGAACGTGCCGGCGGGAGAAGGGTGCATAAGACGCGTTCACTCGTGTTGGACACATTTTTTGCGTAAGCCCTGTCAACACTACTAGCAAAAGTTCAGTTCCGTAAACCTATCTCTGTGGGGACAAAGCCTTTCATTTGTAAGAAATGAACTAATAAATTAAGAAAGAACAAACATAAATGTGGTTTAATAATTTTAACTTCCGCCACCGTGCCGCGCTGACCACGCTGTATTTGGCGCAATGCGTGAAGTATTCATGTAGTCTTGTAGGCACTGTGCGTTTCACGCCGCGCCGACCGCTGTTGACCGTACTGTGTTTGACCCAATGCGTGAAGTATTCATGCAGTCTCGTAGGCGGTAAAATGTGTTACATGCCGACCGCCGCTTCGAGGGCTTCTCCTTTTCATCTCAAATCCTCGTCATCATTTCTCTTTGCGCCGCACCGCTCCAGGCCGAATTACGTGTTTGATTTCTCTCTAAACTCAACGAATTAAAGGTGCGCAGTCTTTTGTATCACCGAAATACGACACAATTAGAAATTAATGAACTCTCAGGAAATGAGAGATTTTATCACCTTTTCTTGTTTGTAATTTTTATCTGAATCCGATTTTTTTGTACCTGCATTTAAAAAAAATTGCAAAATTTGCCGCCCCTAATTTTGCCGCCATGGGCCGCGGCCCATGTGGTCACTCCCTTAATCCGGCCCTGAAAGAGAGACAAAAGAAGATCACGTAAACGTAGATCAACCAAAGCATTTCTTTTTCAGAACAATACATTTCCTAAATACAGTTATGTAGGTGTTAAAACGCACAGTAATTAATAAATCCGATTTGAACTACTCACATTTTTCTAAATCGGTCGAAAATAAAATTGGACGCAACACATTATGGAATAACTTAATACTTTTCCAAACTTCATTTCTTTTTTCATAATTCTTCCTTATCAAGTATTCTCCCTTAAATCATTACAACGCGATCTAAATGGTAAGAATGATCCAGCCACTAAAAAATTTTGAGTCAACAATTTGTTTAGAGGGATAAATTCAAAATCCTACTATTTTTAAAGGTCTCTATATACTGTCAGAGCCTACCTGTCAACTTACGAACAAGAACCTTGATCCATTGAGTTAATAAAAATCTCTAAATCGACTGTTAATAATCATCACTCCTTATCAATGTAATTCACATATCACGAAATGTGTATCGGCGGTGAAACTGTAAAAATGCGAATCTCAGTTGCGGTGTTTCAAAATCTCCTCTATTATTTTATTGTTCAAAAGAAGACGGGACCAACATTATGACTTAAAGTTTTCACAGAATATTTGTTAGAAAGAAAAGAAAAATCACTGAAATTTTCAAAAAATGACATTCGGTAGTTTTCCATGTGGAAAATAAAGTATGAAATGTAGTGTATAACGCCGCAAACCAAGATACGAATTTTTGCAGTTTCATCATCGATGTGAACAGTTCCTGAATTACTAACAGCAGTATCTGAGCCACTTCGATAAGGCGTAAGCACCGAAGTGATACCTTCGCGAAAGAATGGTGGAAATTACTAAATCCTACCGCTAAAATGAGGAGATTACAGCAAAAGGCAGAGCCTTTGTTATTCATCAAATCCCTTTCAAACATTTTTGATAGAAGTTGTAACTAATAAATTAATTGTTAGTAAATAGCTCTTTGTCACTCATTACGAATTTGTTTTATTAGACTCTTCTTCAAAATCACAACACAGTGTAAACACTTAAACATATAATGAAAAATTGATCATGTAAAGTGGACTTGTATTCATTGAGCACCGTTAAAATCCAAAATGAAAGGATGTGATTAGATGACTGTAATAGATTTAGGTTAAACGAGGCTGATTAACGATAAGGCTTGACGTGGAGTTTCACTTTAGGGGGCCATACTTTACGCATCACACTCAGTTCACTGGACTCATTTATCCGCGGTAGCACGTTTTCAAGAGGTGCATCCAGGAAAAAACAGGAGAGAAGATATTCAAGCTATTCCATCCAAACGAATAATATTTTTCTTTGAAGTTTGAGCCAACCCTCTCTCTCCAAGTTACTTCAATTTTTGTCTCGAATCCTGCAAAAATTTTTTGCAATCCACGATATCACTTAACCAAGTTTTATATATTTCTACAATTTCCATTGTCATATTTCAAATAAAAATAACTTGTTCAATTTGGTTGATAGAAAATTCGTTGAAAAAGAGCCAGTTCAAAAAGCGAGGCAAATCTGATAGCAAAAAATTTCTATTTTTTCGGCAATCCTCTAAGGTCAGGCGTATCTCTATTTCCACAAAAGCGCCGGAAAGCATAGGGTCATATGAAAGCATTTAAGCTAAAAGGAACTATGTTGCTCGGAAACCCATGCACATAGTTCCTTTTAGCATAAACACGTCCATACGGCAGACATGGCTCATCCGGAAATTGTGATACGCCCTTACGTGAGAGGATCCACGATTTCTGCCCTCTTAATGGAAAGGTCATTAAACCTCCGCACATGAATCCTCATAAAAAGACCAGGAGGTTATCGCAACTTGCTTTACTAAGTTTATGCACAGTTGATATTTATTTATCACACGAGATAAATGATACACATTGAATGAGGTTTTTCAGAACTGCTTTGAAAAATCGAAATTTCAAGATAACTCCTCGATTCGAATTGACCATAATTTTCAACTATTTCAAATCATTGATTTTTAGTGAAAAAAAAGTCGTAATTATGGCCCATTCATCATTTGAAGGGTATCATGGATAAATTAGTAAAATCTATTCTCTTTGCAATTTCAAAATAAATCATCTTCCAGATCAAAAAATAACACGAAAATTTGAGAATTTTTGACTATTGAGCAAATAATTAACACCTGTCGAGGTTGCCACATAAACTCCGCGAAAGGTAAATTAATGGGTCGAAGAACAATGACACCAAAATGAAACTCGATTCCCCTCAAAGAAAAATTGTCCTTATTTACTAATTGCCTGGCGATTGGGCCTTTTGCCTTCGGGATTTAACATTTAAGTTTTATTCAAGGCTACAACAATAGTCCTACCCTCTTGTAAGTTGTACAGTCAGAAGTTGAGTAGTATGTTCTGCAAATTTACTAGACAACGGCTTGATTCCGAGCGAGGATCAAACGGTCATTTTACAGCCGACGAGAAAATAATTTTAAGGGCTCAGTGATGGAATCGCGGAGGTGAAATGCTTCACCTGTAGCAAGAGGATGGTTTTCGGTTATATCTAGAGGGAACCTAGAGAAAAGAGGAAAAACGAGTCGCACAGATTCACACGAAAAAAGATCAGAACGAGTGGTTTCACAAAAGCGGTTTTTTGTATTTTTATATCGTACACAGTGCACATGGTTTAGTTTCATCGAGAAGGTAGAGTAGCGAGTGGCTCAGTCCTAACAAGATGCACAGCCGCAAAATCGTGGAGGAGGGCCCCACAGTTGACACCGCAGCAGTATCCCCCCAAGTGGGAGTGGGAAAATGTATTTTTATGTTCAATGGAACACTTCAGTATTTTTTGTATTTCTTATCACCTCAATAGATGAACTTCAAGCGGTCACCGGGAAAATAATACAATAAAGGTTGAATTTGCTGACACCGCGAAGATGCTCATTATCTCTTGCAAATGCATGGATTGACAATGATTCAAGCTTCTACGTTACCTCAGAGGGAAAATTCTTGTAGCCCACAGAAAGTATGAGTGCTCACAGCTGCTTTTCGGGCCCACTTCAAAATATCGGTCCAAGTTGCAATGCTAGTTATCAAATGAGGGTAGTTTGGATCATCATTATTTTAGTATTAAAATGTTGCTCTATTATATTTTGTCGCTCAAATCGTCAAAGTTAGAACCATTCTACTTTCTCAACAATAGAACTGTAAAAACTAAAAATAAAATATGGATTTGAAATCGACTGTGTATATTCAAAGATATTTCGCATGCATTTACTCTAAGGCGAAAGTAATTAGAAACATTGAAGCAGTCAGAGACATTGAGCGAACGAATGAGGATACACACATGTTAGAGACCGTAATTGAAGAATATCTACCACTACTTGTGCAAGATACCAAGGGTTGATTCTTTATTTCAATCTTTCAAGTTTTGTTTTCGTGTGGGATTGAGAATCTTGAAAGCTTTATAGTATGACGATTTCTTCTAATGCCCATAGCTTTTTTTTTCAGATACAGTGAATCGGAATATCTAAGGTCTCTGACTTCACCAGTTCATGTTTTGTAGGAGGTAGTAATATCTCTCTAGCAGTTAGATTAACGATTTTTTGGCTATCGGCAGGTCATACTTTCAGAAATAGTTCACCATCTTCAAATTTTCGATTTATGACCAAAGTTTTTATTATCAAAGTTAGTTTTCAATTTTTTACGTTTTAAGTTTTTTTTTAAAGTTTAGAGCGACTATTTGCTCGGAACTCTCGTTGGAAGTTGGGCCATATAGTAGCCAGGGAGAACCCCCTGTTGACCTCGTACGCAAAAATAGATCAGCCAACACCCTTGCTTTTTATTATTTTAAAGTGAGTTGCGATTCTGCGCTCCTTAAGGCTATATACGATCACGCTCAGGTAGACCACTATTACTGCTTACGAGTTGATTCTTTGCCTACACTGGTAAATGAAGGCATTTTCTCCTGGGAGAATGGAATAGCAGAAAAAAATGAATTATCTAACCTTAAGGCTTAATGCACTTACGGAAAACCATCAATATTAGCTTCCGTCTGATATTCTTTTCTCTCCATCCCCTTCTCATTGGCAACAAATCTTTTGAAGCTGGCGCCCCATCCTCCCTTTTTCAACCACCTTTCAACTCCACCTGTTGCTGCGGAGAAAGAGTCTGATGGTGTCAGATCTGGAAGTTATAGAGAAACATTTATTTACACGAAACAAAGCGACCAAAATAAAATACCGCTAAGTAAGGATCCTAAGTAAAGGGAAAGGCGACAAAACCTGTCTGTCACCTGAAAATTCAAACCTCGTTTGTGAGAGGAATGTTTCTCAATGAAAGTTTTGAGAGCGTGTCCCTCCGCTCAGTAACTTTAAGTTTCCCCTTGGAAATATTGTACGTATTTATGCGAATTTCATTCCAACTTGCTCAAAGGCGTGATTTCCGAACTTACTCTGAAAGGACTCAGTTTGTTAAATAGTTGTTGTCATGGGAACGGAGTTCCCCATGATATTAGAATCGTTCCGTTGCTTTCGCTATGGGATTCCCTATACCTCTGCGACCTTGAGCGTTTCACCCAGTCTCCGATTTTTGGTTGATTTTCCGATGTATCAAAAACCGTTGTATTTTTTAGCCAATCGTGTCTCTACGTCAAGTTGTGTTGATTGCTAAAATTCGCTTTCAGCGAGTTTTTTTCCACCTTGAGATGTCGTGTCTGACTGGTAAATCTGCGCAGAACTACGAAGTTCCGTTTTTAGGCAAATTCTTTTTTTTGGGAGGTTCTGATTGTTTATTTTTCGCCATCAGTTTTCTGTTCGTTGGTGCAAAAGATCGCCTACCTCGGTGTTCTTGAGAAGCCGCCATTATCCCACCTCAAATTTGAAAAATAGAAGTAAAGAAATAATAACCATCGTACAAGGTGGAAAATTGTTCTGGAGGACTCGTTACGGATAAAGAAGTCAAAATCAGAGCTCGATTGATTGATTTAATTCATGGATACGCAAATATTGCCTTAGCTCAACTGCCGCGATCGGAATGCGTGCTGGGATGAACCTCGAGACGCATTAAAACAGTGCGAACCATGGCTCCTACAGCAATACAGCAATGCGCTTCATATCATCCCAAAAGCAGTCAAGGTCTCTTGTGATAAGTCCCGCCCATTGCCCGAGTCTTTTGTATGCTATTTTTACTCTCGCCCACGTGGATCCATTATAGCCTAGTTGACTAAACCGCCTCGTATTTTTGATTCGGTGCGGGCACCCGGCGATCGGGAGTTCGATACCCGACGATGGGAACTACTTTTTAATGGTTGTATTGAATGTTTTAGACTAATCATCAAAAAATAATTAATAGTAGATGATAAATGTACGAACATTTTCTCGTGAGTTAATATGTTAAACAAAAATACTGGAATATACCTTCTTCATATAATCAGCCACATGTTCCCCCAAATTAATGACGTTATTTTCTTTTTTCAATAAAGTTAATTTGCATTCAACGTTCGTAAGTTAAGCAAAAAGTACCTATTGATACAAATAGAAAGACATGAAAATAGTATGTCTAACATTTCAGTTGTTTTTTTTTTTTTTTTTTTTTTTTTTTTTTTTTTTTTTTTCAATAAAACAAATTGACTGGGACTAGAATCATCGTATCTCTGAAGACAAAAGCTAAGTTTTTTGATACAGAAATACTAATATATTCATCCTTTATATAATCAGGGAGATGTTGACCCAAATATTGATGTATATTTTCTCTGTTCGCCCAAATTAATGATGGTATTTTCTTTTTTCAATAAAATTAATTTACATTCCACGTTCTTAAAGCAATATTTTCTCCAAAATTCAGCAAAAAATAACAATTTATACCTACGCAAAAAGTAAATAAATAAATAAAGCAATGACATGAAAGTAGTATAGGTAGTACACATCTAACATTTCGGTTACATCTATTTGAATGAAAAAAATGGCAACTTAGGAAGCACATAGGTCACTTATCGACGGTGAAACTACCAAACCACGTATCTCGGTTTGCGACGTCGCAGACTTCCTGTCATACTTTATTTTTTAAATGAAAAGCTACTTAACGTCCAGTCTTGAAAATTTCCGTGATTTTTCCTCTTCGTGCGGAGAAAATTCTGTGAAAATTTCAAGGAATGATATTGATTTGGTCTACTTCAAAAAAATAAAATGTGAGCGGAGATTTTTAAACACCGCAAACGAGATACGTGGTTTGGTAGTTTCACCGTCGTTATGATGCGTATTCGGGCATATGCGTAGAGTAAAAATATCATACTTTACGCCGAAAAAACGAAACTGAAAGTTAAATGCGTTAACTTCCAAAAACCATACATAATCCAACGAAAATAAATAATTGGTAAATAACAGCTTTCTTGTATGCAAAGAAAAAAAATTAAAAATGTTAAAAAAGAGATGTCGACACAAAATTACATAGCCCCTTCAATTCTGAGGATACTACAAACGAACTGTACCTTAAAATTTTCATATCCCAGAAGCAAAAGTTCCCATGACGAATATTGCTATCGCTAGCGATTGCAAAAACCAACTTGTTTCCATATCCTTCCGTTTTTGTACCGTCTCTAACTTAGCGCACAAGATTAACAGTCATTCCTGAAATTACTAATCATAACTTCGTAGGTAGTTTCAAAGCAGCTCCTATGTTCGTTCTCCTACCCCAATTCAGCTTCGTTTAATAATTATTTCATGAAAGATGTGGTCTAAGTACTCATCAAAAAATGGACGAGTTTCCTAGGGAAAAAGAAGCTATGCGAAAGGAAGCTACCGAAACGGTGTTCTTGTTATTCTACCATTGATTCAGCTGAAATTCGGTATATATTTTCCCTTGCTTCATTGATGAAAATGAGTGACACTCAATTTCTCTATCTACCAACAAATTTGAAGCGCGATCAAAAATTTGTTTGATGATAGCGAGGATCGATTATCGCTGCATGTGCAAGTGTATCCATAGTTTATGTGTGTATCCATTCTAAAGAACAGCATATTTATTTTGATTATTGTTTCCCAGGCTAAATTTGCATCAAAATGTCCATATTTTCTTCGTATGTGGAGATAAAACATACCTACTTGAAATTGCTGTGCTACGAGAAGTCAATTTTTAGTTTTGGCTGACAATGAATGGAAACCTACCTACCAGATCACACATTTAAACTTTTTCCGCACGAAGTATTGCGGTATGCTGAACATCCTAATCGGTGAAAAAATGAAAATGATGTTAAAATATTGTGTCAATATTTCTCTCAGATTATCTCTGGAAGGGTTTTTTTTATTCCTCGTAAATTTTTAAGCAATTTTCATCAAATTGATTTTTGTCTTCTTCAGACTAATAAAAAAATCCACAATTTTTACATATAGTTACGCAGTTAATACATTTTTGTGGGGCCGACCTGGCACTCACCTCAAGGAATTTTGGGTCCATCTGCAACAAAAAGAGGGGGTCCCAAGGGTCTCTCCCGAAGTTCTCCCCAGGGATCTCTTCATAAATTTTTTTATAATTTTTTTTTGTTTTAACAAGCAAAACTATGGCCCTCGATAAATCTACAAAAGCGAAATTTTTAAGATGTTTTTTGAAGCCATTTTGACGCCGGATTCGGCTTCATGCAACAAGATTTAAGCCGAAATCTACCGGCAAATCTTGAAATACTTGTTCTCCTTTCCTATCTCACGATAAAACTTAAGCGAGGTAGTTTTCATGAATTACCAGGAATCCATGATATACCATCGGTCTCGAATTTGCCAAAAACCGATCCCAATTGTCTCATCAAGACCCCATTCTTAAGGGACTTCATCTTACCAGAATTGTAGCCTCGAGAAAGCCTTTATCTTGCTAGCCTTGATCGGCTAAGATGCAAAAAACTACAATGATACATTCCACAAATGAGTCCGTGCCAAAGGCCGGCACGTGCCTTTGCTGGTCGAACTTGACCGTTTACAGCAACGGCTCTCGTGCGGTCGCGTATCTGCTGAGCTCGCCGAAAATGCCTTATCGCTCGCTGCATAACGGTCCCGTTGATGCACGAAAACATGTGGAATGCAAAAACTTGAAAAAATATTGCACATCCATCATGGAAAGCGGGAGTATAAAACCGATGGAAATGCATTCATCGGTCATTCCAGTAAGAGACTTCTCCTCTTCTGTGACATCATGTGGACTCCCGCTTTATTGTGCCTGCTGGGTAAGTTTACCATTGAAATTCATTCCGCTTTTTAGTGCGTGTTTTCATAGTGCTGTTAAAAAGGCAGTATACGTGGTCTTAGCTAGAAAATTTAATCCTTTATTTCTCAAAACGTTCTTCAAAAGTTCAAAAATTGGCTTCTTGATTTCATAACTTAACTCATAAATGGACCACATTTTGCAATTCGGAACCACAGTTTTTTGCTCGTAGATATAAGCATCTATCTGCTTATGGAAACTAATAGCACATACGTTGTTTCTAAAATGAGCCAGAAATTGTAAATCCTCATTGCAAAATGTGGTCCGAATAACTTACATGTATACAAGCTGTTTTTATAGCGCTCACTGGCGCCCTGCGACACCTAGCCGCCAAAGTTTCCTATCCTCCCAGAGCCCTTCAAGGGGTTGGCACTCCATCATTTCTTCTAAAACCCTCCGTCGCCATCCTTTCGCTGGGCGTCTTCTTCGTCCAAATGAGTAATTCAACTAATCAAGAGACAATACAGTTGGTATTTTTCCCCTTTTTGTTAAAAATGGAATGGTTTAAAGTTTTCGAAAAGACCCAAACATAGAGCATTGCCTTTTTGTCTTTTATTCAATTTTGTCAATGTAAATCGATGATTGAGAAAAGACGAGTTTCTTCTCATATTTTCATTCAACGTATCATTGATTTTTTTGGTTGATTTTGGAACCATTCGTAGTTTGTGCTTGTTGTAAGTTTGTCACAACTTTACTTTTCTCCACACTGTTTTATGAGGAAGCAAACAAGTTGTCGTTGAAATTATCTTAAAAACACCCAGTTTCTTGCGATTTTAAGATGGTTTACTGAAATCGCAAATTCCGTGAAACTAAAATACAGACTTTTTCAGTAACTTAAAATTTGTGTGATAAGTATAAGAATTTTATAACGGAATTTCACAGGGTACTTTTGAAATTATTATTGTGTTTACAAGTCTCACCCTAGAGTATCTCATCCGTGAAAAGGTACCATTCTTTTTCTTAGGGTGAGCAGGATTTTTTGAAAGAGGGGTTGGCTTAATGTTCCTCTTTTGGGAATTTGCCTCTGATATTCGAACTTAGGGTCATTGAAGACAAATGGGTTAAGTGCAGTTTTTGATGTTTTAAAAATGCATGTAGACTCCGGGAAGAAACTTCAAACTCACTTTTTGATGCTTGAAAACTGAATTTAAGTGGTGATATATTCACTAAATATATTTCAAGACAGCCTTTGGTTGAAATAATTGATCTCTTGAATTTTTTTACAAAACTGCATTAATCAAACTTGTCTTCCAAGCCCCTTTAACAACTCTTAAATTATATTGAACTTAAATGGGGGTAGCTATTTGGAGTATATCGACGGTGAGACTTCAAAAATGCGTATCTCAGTTTGCAGCGTTGCAGACTTCCTGTCATACTTTATTTTCTTCATGGAAAACTACTGAACGTAATTTTTTAAAAATTTCAGGGATTTTCCTTTTCTTTAGAGAGAATATTCCATGAAAACTTCAAACCATGATATTGGTCAGAGGCGGATTTGGTAACATCGATTTTCCTCCATTTAAACCCATGTTAACTCATTAATTCTTGTCGGAGCACTTGGCCCCTCCAAGAAGCGATAAGTTTCCATTGGTTTGAATGGAGAAAAAACAATGTCGCCGATTTGCTGTATCTGCCAGTGTTCAGTCACATTTTCAAAAAATGAAATAGTAGCGGCAATTTCGAAACACCGCAATCGAGATACTATTGTTGTAGCTTGTTTAAGGTATATGAAGAACGCCTAACCGTGCACGTTAACAGGAGCTTGTGGTAACATTCGAAAAAATTCTTATTTCAGTCGCAGCCGCCAATGCCCAATACGGGTGGAAAAATGGAAACCTATACAAATACGAAATCAACGGACGCACCCTGACCGCCCTGAACCAAGTCGCCGACCAATACGCCGGAGTCTTATTCAGAGCCAACTTCTACGTCCAACCCTTCTCCAGTGACAGACTGTCTGCCTACGTAAGTTCCTTTATCAGTATGTCACAAAAATCAATCTCTTTCTATCAACATTCTCGAAGGAGAAATATATCCATCTCTAGTTTAGAGGCGGATCCACCAATTTGGCAACATCGGATTTTTTCCATTTAAATCTACATTAAATAATCGATTCTTGTGGGAGCACGTGGCTTCTCCAAGAATCGATACATTTCCATGGGTTTAAATGGAGAAAAACAACGTTGCCAAAATGCTGGATCCTCCAATGCTCTAGTTTCATAAGGGCAATAAATCATCGCGCATCTCTATTCATGTTCCTTTATTAAAATTCATGAATTTGTTGCGCATATCTCAAAATCGTGTTTTGATGGTTAATACCTTTGTCCTAGCAAAAAGTTAAAGATTCATCCAAACGCCAAATTTTTACGCTCAACATTTATGACATGCTTCTCTAAAAATTTTGGTGAATGACATCACTCACTAACTAAGTGGCCACTAATATTAGCTAGTGGGTGCATTATGAGAGAGTCAAAAATTTTCATAAAATCCCTTAGAGTTAGTGAAAGTGAAGTCAAAATTCCCAGAATAATCTTTGCTTGGACTTAGTTGTGTTAGAAAATATTTTGCATGTGTCTAACCCTTATGAAGTTTTCGTGGATTTGGCTAGTCGGTACTTATGTTTAAAATCTGATTTTTCAGATCCAAAATGCCGAGACCGCTCAAGTTCACGCTGAGCTTCCAAGTGGATATGAATCTCACATCCCCTCCAGCCAGTTGAACTACAAGAGTATGCCCCTCAGCCACGAGCCATTCGAAATTTACCTGAAGAAGGGAGTCGTCTCCAACCTTCGCGTCAACAAGAATGTCTCCGACTGGGAACTTAACATCATCAAGGCTGTTGTGAGCCAAATCCAAGTTGACACCCAAGGTCAAAACTTGAAGAAATCCAGCCACAACCAACTCCCCAAGGAAAACAAGCCCTACGGTGTTTACAAGACCATGGAAGACTCCGTCACCGGTGAATGTGAAACTCTCTACGACGTCTCACCTCTGCCAGAAATCACCCTCCAAACCAAACCCTGGTTGGTTCCTTTCCCCAACTTCCGTGAAAACGGACAATTCATCGACATCGTCAAGACCACCAACTACAGCAAATGTGAAGCACGTTCTGCTTACCACTTTGGTATCACTGGTCTCACCAACTGGAAACCCGCCAGCAACCAAATGGGACAATTCCTCTCCGTAAGTATAATTATGGTCCTAGTTTTTTAATCTCCTCAAATACTAAGAAAAAATTTCAATTTTTTTTTTTTTAATTCTTTTTTGGACGATGACAATACTACATTACCTAAAAGGGGAGCAAGAAAGTAAAAATGTATAGTGCAGCATTTTATGAGCAATGAAAATTGCTTTTGTGTCTATGAATTTTAAAGTATGCAGTGAATGTCTTAAAAACTGGAACTAAGGAAATCCACTGAACTTTTCTGAAGCAAATACTGTGAAATGGTAAATTGAGGCTTAAATAAATTGAGAATCTGAAAATCAGAAAATGGCAATCAAGATACGTAATTTTCAGATATCACCATTAAGACGTGCTCATAATAATAAGAGTTTGGCTCTCATTGAATATTTTCCAGTGAAATGATTTCGAAACTTTAACTTATTTTCAAAATTTTCAATTCGTCTGATACGAGAATTTCAACGGAATATGGTTGTTTATGTTTCAGCGCTCCAACATCAACCGTGTCGTCATTTCTGGAAACGTGAAATACTACACCATCCAATCCTCTGTTTCCACCAACAAAATCGTCATCAGTCCACAGATGTACGAATCACAGAAGGGAATGGTCATCAGTGTCATGAACATGACCCTGGCTTCCTTCCACCAAGCCAATGGATCTCCCCGCAGCGTCAACAACTACCGCAAGGTCAACAACTTAGTCTACGACTACATGGCCGCTTCTCCTAACGCATACGCTCAACACTACAACAACAACGGTGCTTCCAGCAGCTCCTCCAGCTCCAGCTCTGACTCTTCCAGCTCTAGCTCAAGCTCCAGCAGCAGCTCTTCCTCTTCCAGCTCCAGCAGCAGCTCCTCCAGCTCCGAAGAAGAATACTACCGCAACAAGAACTACAACAACAAGCACAACAACAATGCCAACAACAACAACAACGACAACAACAACAAGCACAACAACAACGACAACAACAACAAGAACGAAAACAACCACCACAACGGAGATGCCAACGCCTCTCGCAACCGTTCCCGCAGAGACTTGTCTCAATACAACAATGGAAAAAACAACAACGGAAACAACGACAATGACGCCGAATACGAAAAGCGCAACGGCCACAACGGCCACAACGGAAACAACGGACACAACGGACACAACGGAAACAACAGCCACAACGGACACAACGGCCACAACGGAAAGAACGTCGACAGTAGTTCCAGCTCCAGCAGCTCCGAGGAAAACGACCGTTACAACAACGGCAAATTCGCCAGCTTTGCCCGCCACCACGGATCTGGATCCTCCTCCTCCAGCAGCTCCTCTGACTCCTCCGACTCTTCCAGCTCCTCCAGCTCCTCCAGCTCTTCCAGCTCCTCCAGCTCCTCCAGCTCCTCTGACTCTAGCTCCTCTGACGACAACAGCTCCTACGGATCCTCTGTCGCCAGCAGCGAAGAAGAACACCAACCCTTCCCCAAGCTCTACCAAGCCCCACGTACCCCATTCCTCCCCTTCTTCGTCGGATACTACGGAAACAACATCCAATCCGCTAACAATGTCAACAGCGTCGCTCTTGCCCGCAAATTCGCCCAAGAAATTGCCGAAGACATGCGCAGCCCAAGCGACATCCCCGCCAAGGGAACCCTGTCCAAATTCACCCTGTTGACCAGAGTCATCAGAACCATGGATGCCAAGCAAATTGAACAAGTTGCCCGTGAAATCTACTTCAACGCCAACAAGGCCTCAAGCTACAGCCAAGAGGACAACAAGAAGACCTACGCCTGGTAAGATCATATGATTATTCTTCATCGCGTGATTTCACCTTTTCAAAGTAAATGAGATAGCTTAGTGAGATTATCAAGTTCCTCCTCTCAGTCTTAAGTTATATACCACAATTAATGAGATCAAAAACGTAAAATGCAGCTTATTGATTAAACATTTTCTGTAGGAGGGCAAAAAAAAGGAGGAAAATTCCTGTTTTACGCATTTATAATTTTTGCAGTATCCGCTGAATACAAAACTAAGAATACTCACACGAATGGTCAGATAGTGTACTTATTTCTCATAGTATCGTTATTTTTCCGTCTTTATAGGAAGGCTTTCCGCGATGCTCTCGTTGAAGCCGGAACTGGACCCGCCTTCGTTGCCATCGTCAACTTCATCGAACGCAAGGAAATCACCCCATACGAAGCCTCCTTCATGATCAACCGTCTCCCAACTGTTGCTCGTGAACCAACTCCCGAATACATGAACTACTTCTTCGTAAGTTTAGCCTGAAATATCAAGTTCCACACTTTTAATAAAATCAGATAGATGCATTATTCGCTCATTCGAAATTCTGACCCAATATGCTCAATTTACTCGATTAAATTAATGTTGACTCAAAAAGCAAACGAATGCGGATCGATATCTATTTCTGATATTTTTATGACTCAATTTTTCTATAGGTTTTGCGTCGATTTTCTTTTTTTTCTTCGCCAGTTTTATTCATTAATGTTATAATTAATTTAAATTTTGGAAAAATCATGGTGGATTCAAATTTGTTTATTTTGGTCCTCTCACGTAAAATTGGTAGTGAAAAATTTGCAACGCCACTAGTTGGGTTATGGATGCTTTTTATCTTACCGTCAATGATGACAAAATATGTAACTACGCACAAGTTAGCGTGTATTTTCAGCGGTAGTTAGCGAGTATCTTCTGCCACATAGTCGAAGTGACACTGCTGAAGGCACTCTGAGCAACTATTCCGCCACAGAAGTATTGCACAGTATCAGACGAAAATGAAGGCGCACTAACGCGTATGTCAATTGACTGATATCGTGTATCACTGTGTGTGTATAGTCCTACTGGAAGTATTTCTATCAAACGGAACTATGTGCATTAAGACATGAGCCAAAAGACCCATAAGAATACATGCATTCCAGAGCTCACGTCATAATGCACATAGTTCCGTTTGACAGAAATGCGTCCTACTGATCTTACGCTATGCAGCTTCTGTTCTTTAGATTTTTCTGAAACCAGTATCAAGTGGCATTTTCTGATGGTAACTTAGACGGATATTAAAACTAAGATCAGGTAACGCAAGGAAAGTCACTAATTGAATTCTTTATACCTCCTTTTCCAGAAATTCGCCACCAACGACTACGTCAGAAACGCCAACTACCTTAACGAATCTGCCCTCCTCTCCTTCGCCGACTTGATGCGCAACGTTGCCGTTGACTTCAAGAGCGCCCACAACTACTACCCCGTCCACAGCTTCGGCTTCTTCTTCGACCAACACTCCAAGGCCGTCTCTCGCAAGTACATCCCATACTTCGAGCAAGCCCTGAAGAGAGCCGTTGCCAATGGTGACAGCCGCAAGATCCAGGTCTACACCCGCGCCCTCGGAAACTTCGCTCACCCACAAATCCTCAGCGTCTTCGAACCCTACTTCGAAGGAAAGGTCCCCATCTCCACCTACCAACGCACCTACATGGTCTTCGCTCTTAACGAACTCGCTCGCGTCTACCCCAACCTCGCCCGCTCCGTCCTCTTCAAGATCTACCAGAACACCCAAGAAAACCAAGAAGTCCGCGTCGCCGCTGTCTACTTGATCTTCGCCACCAACCCATCCGCCCAAACCCTCCAACGTATGGCTCAATTCACCTACGAAGACCAGGACCAACAGGTCAACGCTGCCGTCTCCTCTGCCATCCGCAACGCCGCCAAGAAATCCGCTGGAATCCGCGAAGAACTGTGAGTACTGCTTTTTCCTTGATACATCACAACAAAATCAAAATCTAAGTGAAAATTGGTATTTGAGATTTGGATCATTGATCATGCAATAATGTCATTGAAAACTATTTGATAATTTGGGAAAGGTTTTATAAACGAGAGGATACAATTGGACTGCATTTTGCAATATGGAACTATAAATTCTGGCTCTTCTAGGAAAACACTTATGTGCATAGGGAAACTAATGGCATGTACGTTGTTTTTAAACCGGTCTAGAATTTATAGTTCCAAATTGCAAAATGTAGTCCAATTCGTCCTCTCCCCCACGAAAGAACGTAACTGTATTTCAGCGTTGCCAAATTTCCTCTCGCAATTTTCAATTTTAGGTGTAAATTTTTGGGCACTTCCGACTGAAAATTTCACTAATTTTTCACCTGATCCCGTGCCAAAATCAGACGAATTTTTGGACAAAAATTACGCAGGTATGTTCTGGTAAAGAATCGAATTGCTTGGGTCAACGTTGTAGCTTTGGAATGGAGTTACATTCTTTTGTGGGGGAGACGAAGAATTGTACTCTAATTCTACTCATTGCATACTATTTTCCGCTTTCGTATTGAACTTAACCCCTTTGGTCTCTGCGTCAAGATTTTTGGGTATTACATTCAAAATTACACTTCGCAGTACACACCTGTAAATTTAAATCAGCAAATTTGCATAGCTCTTTTTGGTTCTTTGACTTACGAATTTCTCCGTTTTCAGCGCTGAAGCCGCCCAATCCGCCGTCGATCTTCTTAACCCCAAGACCTACGGACTCCAATTCTCCAAGACTTGGCTCCGCGACTTCATCGTCAAGGAAGAAAACCTCGCCTACAGCTACTACGCTGACACCATCCAAAGCGACGACTCTCTCTTCCCCAACCAATACTACGCTTCCTTCTTCCGTCACTTCGGAGGATTCAACCAACGCGCTGCTTCCGTAAGTATTTCGTAAAGCACAATAATTTAAATTATCTCCTGATCGATTTTTAGTTTCTTATCACTCGGACTAGCTAATGCTGTATCCGAAATTTTCAACGATGAAAACATTTTTTAATGTACATACATACATACATACAGTTAGTTAGTTAGTTATTATAATTTTGAGACATTCAGCGACTTAGGCTATTAACGTCTTTACAGGGAATTTTGAAAATATATAGGAGTATAAACGAAAATTTAGATTTTTAAATTGAGAGAGGTGAAGAGTTTCAGAATTTTGGTGGCAATATTAGGTTCATCGCATGTAAGAGGGTTTGTATTTCTGTAGATTGTAGGGGAGTAGATCTGTGATTGGAGATGTCGGAGGGAAGAGCAGTCCATAAGTTACATACATGCATACATACATACATACATACATACATACATGCATACATACATACATACACTAGAGTAAATTACTAGTGTTAACGACGCTAACAAAACGTTAGTCGTAAATTTAAAAAAAAAATGGAAATTTAATGGGAAATTATGATACGAAATTATTTTCCTTAATTCAACTAATTAAAAGTAGGTTTTGAGTTTTTTTATGCGTTAAAGTAAGAATATGCATGGGGATTAATATATGAGAGAAGAAATTCAAATTCTCACTTTTGTGTTGATAGAAACTTTCAGATTGAGAATGCAATTTTCTTTTTCATACAGTTCCACGCTTTCGCCTCCAGTGCTAGCGACTTGTACGACAGAGTTGCTGACTCCTTCTACTTCGCCGAACAATACCAAGACAAGTCCTTCGAGAAATTCTCCAAGTACTCTGCCGAAGAAATCTTCAAGAACTTCAACTTCAAGGCTGACTACCCCAAGGAATTGGAAGCTTACTTCCAATACTACTTCTTAGGATCCAAGCAATACTCCTTCATCAACGAGGAAATCTTCAACCAAATCCCCAGAGGTAACATATCTCTTCCATACATTTTAACACTCAACACTTAAAACTTTTTCCCTTCTTTTTTCTCTTTTTTTTCTTTTTTTGAAGAGTAGATATTTTCTCATGTTGCGAGTTTGCTGCGGGTAACGGCCGATTTTTTAAAACCGTTTTTATATTTTTGATTCAATAGTAAGGTAAATGATAATTAAAATTCACGGTATATAAGTATGTAAAATACTAATGATATTTTTTATCATTCTACTCAGATTTGGAAAGTGCTCTTAACAAGGCTGCCAACGGATACTCCTTCAACAACACCAAGTTCTACAACGACTTCGCTCTTACCATTGGATTCCCAACCGCCACCGGTCTTCCCTTCTCCTACACCATCAAGCTCCCAACTCTCCTCAACTTCGGAGGAGAAGTTAAGGCTAAGGTCCAAGGATTCAAGGCTGACAACAACAAGTTCCGCATCCCCGAAGCCGTCAATGTTACCGCTGCCATCGATGTCACGTAAGTTTAAATACAGATCTCTAGTCATTGGATTTTTACCGTTCACAAAATTACTGACTTGCATCGCCGAAACAATATTCTTACAAAAGCAAGATTTTTCGGTTTCCGGCTATGTAAAAGCAAAAGTTGAGCTATCAGCCGATTTTACAAATAAATGCAACATTTCACATTGCACATTGCACAGTGCAAATTGTTTTTTTTTTTTATCAAAGCATGGCCTGAGTCACAATCATTACATTTATTTGTATAATTGGCTAATAGCTAAACTTTTGTTCTTTCAAAGACTAGACCCAGTTGAACATAGCGCCTTGATGCAACTATTCGTGGTTCATGGATGTGCGTGTTGCGTGTTCAAAATTGAAGGAACTTTCACTTTTCTCACATCTGCAAAGAAGCATGGAGTCGTCAGTCGTATCACTCTAATAGCACAATACCTAGACATGTATGGAGAATATTACAAATCAGCGACACGAGGCCAGAGCGTCTGAGGCCAATAATTAAATTGATCATTCTTTAAAAGACTTAAGCGACTGATATGAAAATACGAGAAAAACCTTAGAAAATGTAAGAATCGACCCGTTTTAAATTTTACATTTTATAATAACGTCGTTAATCAACTATCGCTTTAATATTTCAGAGCTCTGAAATTTAAATTGGCTCGGTAAAAACGTTTCTCACTGTTTTTCACGTATCATACTTTCTGGCGTTTAAGTCTTTTTTAGAATGACCGACTCAAATCCATGACTATCGCGACCTACGAAGTATCTCGATCGGAGTTGGTTGTGGCGCCTGAATGCAACTATTTGTGTTCCACGGATGTGCGTGTTGTATGATTAAAATTGAAGGCACTATCGCTTTTCTCACCTTTTCAGAAATGCACAAAATATCGCCGTTATTTGGTGTAAAAATAATTGTTTGGTTTTGAATATTTCAGTTACTCCACCAAGTTGGAAACCAAGTTCGGATTCGTTACTCCATTCGACCACCAACGCTACGTTGCCGGAGTTGACAAGAACATCAACTTCAACCTCCCCCTTAAGTTCAACGTCAACCTCGATGTTTACAACACCAAGGCTGAAATCATCGTCAAGCCATTGAACAACCAACACGAACAAAGAGTCTTCCACTACAGCTCCTACCCCTACACCGCTTTCTACAGCATCTTCGACTTCGCTCCTGTCCAATTCAACAAGAACATGAAGAAGATCCAAACCAACAACCACAAGAACGAAGTAAGCGATATTAACTAATATACGTTCAAGTAACAACTTTCTGGCATTAACTATATGCCAATTTTCTTAGTATATTAGAAAAATTCAAACATCTTTGATATTTTTTCGTATCATGTAAATTCAGCGATCATGACCAGACATTATCTTAATGCAATTATTATTTCAATCACTTTAAACTCCTGATGGTGCCAAAGATATATCAACACATTGTAGTAACCCCCTCCATTTGGATCACTAAAGCACAAAAGGAGAAATTTAGTTATAATACCCATCACTTTCTTTTGCAGTACAACCAAGCCTTTGGAAATGACAAATTCGGACTCAACTTCCGTGCCAACTACAAGGGAGACTACCAATACTTTGATTTCGCTACTTTCTACAACTACTTCCAACGCAACGACCTCGTCACCTTCTTCTTCTACCCATGGGCTGAACAAGAAATCAAGCAAAACGACTTCAACTTCTACTTCAACCCATCTGCTTCTGACAACAAGGCCGCCAAATTCACCTTCAACTACGGTAATTACTCAATGTTTCCAGTGCTCAAAACCGAAAAAGGAATAAAACCTCTCCAAAATTAGGATTGTGCTTCACGAAATCATATCGATGACCACAGTGCAAAACCACTGATCTCCCTCCGTTCGCGATGTTTCAGACTTCCTGTCATACCTTATGTTTTCTTCGGAAACTAGTCCCACGTAATTTCTTGAAAACTTCGTTGATTTTTCTTCTCTGTGGGCAAAATATTCTGTGTAAATTTAAATTTATAAAGTTGACTTGTTTTATTGGCGGACACTTTAAAACATGAAAAAGATACGTGGTTTCGCACTTTGGACATCGGACTTACAAACAATCAATGACGAGAATCGACAGAGACACAGGAAGACATTCGCTTGATGAAAAAAATGACTGTGAACGATAGGAAAAGAATGAAAAATTCTCTGGTAATTCAATTAGACTTAAATATTGTGGAGAAAGTGACTTTATTAGAATAGTGGCTTCAATGTGGATTTTATCGCATTTAAAAGTAAGAAACTTTACAGATGACAATACAAGCAGAAATCTTATATTATTTTTTCATTACTTTGATACCTTATTAAAAAATCTTATTTATTTATTAATTCCTATCTCAATCTTGATTTCAGCCTCCAAATACGCCGCTAAGGAACAAGCCGACCACGAGAGCAGAAACGCCAACACCAACGATGCCGTCACCTCTAACAACAAGCCCGACAGCGAAGAAAGATTGAACGAATTCGTCCGCAAATCCTACGCCGGAATCAACAGTAAGTATCCAAACTACAACAGCTGAATTTTTTTAGTAATGTCGCTGTATTTATGAGAGAGACGGAAAAAGCGCCTTAATTTCATTGTGTATGCAACCGGCAACCCAAGCTGCTGATGAATATTTACACTCAGAGGGATCGTTGGTTTCTACCTATATATTTACGTCGGTGTAAGTTCGGACTTATAGATTATTTCATTAAAAGTTAACTTCATCTGATGCGTAAATTCAGTCCTCAATTTTTTCACTTTCAACTGCCTGGTTCGAAAATATGTTTGTACATGTTTCTTCAGTGCAAAATTTTGATTTGCGAATTTGATGAATGGGACTAAACTTTTATTAGATGAAATAATAAAGAGAGAAAAGCGTAGCATATTGAACAGTGATTGAATTCACTTAATAATATATTAATTCACTTTTCAGGTGCCTTCGTCAACGCCTTCGACTTCTCTGCCCAATTCCTTGGACAAAAGGAAGCCGACTACGTTTGCACCTTTGCCTTCGCCCGCAGCCCAGTTGCTGAGAAATCTCGTTTCCTCTTCTACGGACACTACAACACTGCCAACAACAAGAAACAACAGGTATTTTTTCCCTTCAATTTAATTGATTCGATTTTTGCTCACGTCAAATTCTGTCAGCCAATCACTTATAGTAAATTTTTTTATGTAGTATGTTCAATAGTAAAAAAAGCGGTGTTTTTTCACAAATTAAAACCCTCAAAAGTACGTGCGCTTCTTGTTTATGGTTTAAGAGGGTTTAAAATCTGTTAATCGTGTGTAAAAATTGCTGGAATTTCTTAATTAGTAGTTTAGAACATCTCATTAATTAATTCTGCATTCTTCTAAATTTGATTTTTTGGTTTTCACAGTGCGCTTTCCACGCCTCCGCTGAGATGCCCAATGTTCCATTGACCAACCCTGCTGCCGCCATGAAGGCTGAGCCAGCATCCAAGATCTACGCTAACTTCAAGTTCGGAGAATCTTTCGAAAATGCCGCCAAGGTTCACTTCAACGTAAGTGATTCTCAATTCATTTCAAAAACCCAGATGAAATCACTTTTTGATAGTGCTTCCTTTTTATCATCGTACCCTGAATTTGTACACTTTATTTGATCCCGAACTTGACAAATCCTTCCACTAATTTCAAGTGGTCAATCAACACCTACTTAAATATTCAATCGTTAGTTACCAAATTCTTAATAATGAGATTTTGTAAGTTTGAGATGATTTTATGCGGATCAACCTTGCTTCCGGAGTAAATTACACATTCGAAAAAACAAATATAAATTCAATTCAATTACTAAATAATGGTTTACAAGAATATAGATTGCAATTATCTTAAAATAAAAATCATTTTTCAATTTTAATTACAGGCTAACTTGAAGCAGAGCTCTGAACGCCGTCAATTCCTCCGCAACAACGCCCTTTACAAGCAATGCGAATCCGAAATGGAACGTGGACAATACTTCCTCCCTGCTTGCCGTAACTTCACCGTTGCTGACAACAGAATGAACGAATACTACTACAACTTCAACTTCCAAAACGTAAGTCAATACCTCTGCTCATAATGACAAATTTCTAAAATTTCAATCTTGAGATATCGTCACCTTAAAGGAACAAAAAATAAGTACTTCGAATCCTACACCTAAACCCCAAAAACATGAATCAGGATCACTCGATGACTCGATCTTCCACTTTTATTGATGAAAAATAAGCTGAGGACCAATGAAAAGTAATTCACTTCGCTTTAGTCACTGTTTCTTCTTTTTTATATTTGTAGTTCCTTCTTACGCAAAGCAACGTCACATTTGGACTACATTTTGCAACTCAGAACTACAATTTCTTGCTCATTCGTAAAAACATTTACGTGAATGGGAAAAATAATGGCACATACGTTGTTTCTACACTGAGAAAGAAATTGTAGTTCCCAATTGCAAATTGTAGTCCATTTGATATTTCTTGAAGTAAGTGAGTTTAAGTTTTCGCTGTGGCCAATTGAAATACTCGAGGAAAATAATGCCGCTATTGATAGTAACAGGAATATTCAGTGAAGTAAGTTCTTCCGTCTCTTTCCAGATCCCTGAATACTTCAAGAACTACACCTACCAAGCCTTCGCCTTCGCCCGTCACATGGGATACCAATACCAAAGCGAAAACGTCGTCAACCCACACTACAAACCCAACGAAATTGAAGGATTCTTCAAGTTCTCACCCAGCTTCAGATACGCCAACTTCTCTTTCGCCTCTCCCGCCTTATCCGCTGCCTTCGACAATGTCCCCGTAAACCCATACTTCGCCGCCATCTTCGCTCCCCACCCAACTTACACCGCCTTCGACTTCTTCATGCAAGAAACTTTCAGATCCAAATACCAAGGTAAATATCGCTTTTTACGTGCTTTTATTCTTACAGCTTTGTAATATGAAAGGAGAGCAATAGTGTATTTTAATACAATGAGTATACGTCTTTGGTGCTTAAGACAGTCTAGAATACCTCTTTTAAGGCATATCATATAAATATTTTTTGTCATAATTTCAGCATTTACTAGGCGCTTACACTGTTAAGCTTTCCATCCTTTGTTGTGGAAGTTGGGCCAGTAAAAAGGCTAAAAGCTGCTCACTCTTTGTAATTTAGAGTAAAAAAGTATTTCCTCTTAGATTATAACGTGCCTTCAAAAGATAGAGTGTCAATAAGTTTCATTTAAAGGTACGCCGCGCTTTAAAGCGCCTTCAATTTTGTAGATGCAACACGGACATCCATCAAGCACGAATAGTTGTATCTCTGCGCCTTCGTCAATGCGCTTGTTTTCCCTTGCTCTATTTCTATATTGTGTTTCTTCCCGTTTTTCTAATTTATTGTGGTGCATCGAAGGCTACGTGAGCACCACAGCCGAAGGTAGAAGAGGCGTAATGGATAACGAAATAAATTTGGATGTTTATTTATTTTTTTAGCTGCCTGTGTCGCTGACAAGGGATTCGCCACCACTTTTGACAACAGAACTTTCCCCGCTCACTTCCAAAACAACTGGTACGTCCTCATGGCCTACATGAACAGAAACAACTACTACAACAACAACTTCAACCAATACCTCCAACAAAACAAGAACCAACACAGCTACAGAGACTACAACGAGAAGAGATTCTACTCCGCTGTCCTCGCCAGAGACAACAGTCACGGCCAAAAGGTAAATATGCTTTCAATTTAAGGTTTTTTTTTGTTTTTTGTTTTTCAATTCATTATTTTACATTCATATACTGCGGATCTTTGAGATTCTCGGTATGAGCTTGAGACCTGAATAATTCTTTACGGATCAGTCTGAAAATATTTGTTAATAATAATGTATTTTTCTCAAAGATCCTACTTTTTCTTTGAAAAATGAACACATCATGTAACTATTGTAAATGAGCACGTTTCTAATATGAACAATGCTATTCCTTCATACTGATATAAGAACTCAAATTGAGGTTTAATGTGAATAATGGAATTGAAAAGTTGTGAGAACAGTGAATTTGAAAGATTCGTCACACAGCAATGGCATGAATTAATCGAACTTCCTCTGTGACTCCATCATAGATAAACAATACTATAATCACTTTTACAATTACAGGAATTGAAGGTTGTCCTGAACAACGGTGAATACGAATTCAACTTCGAACCCGCCTCCCAAAACGCTGGATTCTCCAACTCCTTCTCCGCTAGCAACCCCGCCGCCAAGGTCCAATTCAACAAGGAAGAACAACACGTCCAATACAAGTACATGAACGACTTCTTCGACAAGAACGGAAAGATCTTCGCCCAATTCTACGCTCTTCCCGATGGAACCATCCGCTTCTTCGCCCCTCAAGCTGGTCTTGAATTCTTCTATGATGGTGCTCGCGTCAAATTCCAAGTGAGTAAATGTTGATATTTTAAAGCAATCTTTCTCTGCCTCAGCATCCATTCGTTTAATTTTGATCTAGGGTTAATTTGAGAAAGGCGTCAGGATGAAAGGGAAAATCACTCTACTTATTCGGTCTGAAACCCTACATAAGTCTCCTTCACACCTGTATGAGGACCATCAATAAACCCCGACCTCAATTGCATTAAAAGAGCTCTTCTCAAAATTTCATGATTTTCAAATATTAGCAGCTCACTATCTAATTCATGCGAAAAATCCGCATTGGCAGATTTCGCTAGAAGAAACTCAACTCAATTTTAGAGACAAGGAAGATTTTTAAATGTTGACGTTCCCCACAATATGCTTAAACTTTCGATTTTGCTGCGGAAGTGCTTAAATTAAGGTTAATCATGAACTTAAATGGGGAATATTTTAATTTTTCAATGTTTTAATTAAATTAATTTTTTAATGTTTTAATTTTTCAGGCCGCCAGCCAATACCGTGGTGCCGTCCGTGGTATCTGTGGAACCTACTCCAACCAATACGCCGATGACTTCACCAGCCCCAAGAACTGCGTCATGAGAAACCCAGAATACTTCACCGCCGCCTACGCCTTCATCGACTCCTCTTCTCCCGCCCAACTCAAGGCCCAACGCGACCAAGCTGAACAGAGCTCCTGCGCCTACAAGACCTACTTGGCCGGTAACTACGTCAGCCGCAACGAAGGACAAAACGGAAACAAGTACTACAAGTACAACAACAACGACAAGTACTACGAATCCGCCTACAAGAACTCCAAATACTACGATGCCGCCAGGTACAACCACCAATACAACCCATACTACCAGAACAAGCAGTACGCCCGCAACGAAGACGCTTCCTACTCCAGCAGCAGCAGCTCTTCCTCCTCCAGCTCTGACAGTTCCTCCTCTTCCTCCTCCATGGACAACTCCTACTACTACAACAACAACGGTAACAACAACGACAACAACAACCGTAACAACAACCGCAACAAGAACCGCAACGGATCCTCCAGCAGTTCCTCCAGCAGCAGCTCCTCCTCCAGCCCAAGCATGGAGAGCTACGAACAGAGAAACCAAAACGGACCATCCATCCACAAGCTTTACCGCTCCATGAACGAAGGAGACAAGACCTGCTTCTCCGTCAACTCCATCCCAACTTGCAGATACCCATACAAGCCCCAAGGTGGAGCCAACAAAGAGGTGAGGAGTCTGCCCTAATCATACCTGAACAAACAGAATTTTAATACTTGCCCTATAAACTTTGGAATTGTACTTACCGCAATAACGCGTGTGTCCATTTCTACTTCCAGGAGTTTTCACGTTACAGCATTTTCCACAGTACTTTTTTCGGAAAATTCAGTTTTTCTTCTACGCACCCTGAAACTGGCTAAAAAATATGGGCTTAAATTATTTAATTGATAATTCAGTTAATCTGTCTTTCTTCTTATGAAGATTATTGTCAAATCCGAATAAAACCGAATTTTCGAACAGAATACACAATGCATCCTGGCCGACCGAGAGAAAAGGGTGCAAAATATCGTAGTTTTGCTAAAATAATTAGCTTTATTCATGGACTTTTAGTAAAATGTTGAGAGAAGGTAGTGTTTGAAATAACGATACCCTGAAATAATCATTCTCCCCTTAATTTATACTTGAACACTCCTCCAAAAATTCATCGTTTTCGGGTAGTAAGTATCAACTTATTAATAATGAATTCATTTTTTGTTTCAGATTGACTTCTACTGTGTCCCCAGAAACAGCGAAGAAGCTCAATACTTCGAGAAGCTCATGAAGAAGGGAGTTAACCCCAGCCAACTTTCTTCCAAGAAAGCCAACAACCAATTCAAGGTCAACATCCCTGAATACTGTGTTGCTTAAAAATTTACTTTTTAAGTCAAAACGTATGTGTTAACAAGTGTTCCACTGTAGTTTAGTATTCTGTATTAACAGAGAACCGCGGGTTTTTTCTCACGATTGAACTTGTGTTCTTCTGCACGAAAAAAAAAAAAAATTAATGAAGTATTAATAAATTAATTTCAAGCAATTAATCACTCAGAGGTATTTATTTAGAACAGTCCTCATTATCCTATGAAATACATGCTAACTTTAGAACTAATCACAAACATTTGAATTTAAACTGGTCTAAACAAAGTTTAACAATTTTGAAATTTTCATTCAACTCATCAATAATAATGTGTGATAGCTAATTTGTGGAGCTGTCAAGTGGGAATGATTCCTGGAAATTTTTTGAAAGTCTGATCCCGTTTTGAGGGAGCTTTAGAAAAGATTTCGAAGAAATTAAAATCGAGAATAGATTTAAGTGATGCAGGAAATCTTGTGTTAATTAATGTGTCCGATAATAGACAGGCCTTCAAAGCCAGTCAAATCATGTTATACATTAAAATGAAAGCTCGTGAAATGATCAAATTTTAGTGAAAGAACCAAGAGATTTAAAGTATACTATCTGGATGACTATCACTGGAAGAAATTGCAACATTTTCCAACACAGATTGAGCATTATACTATAAATAGTTTCCTCCAGTTTCATTACGAGTGCAGTCGGCTCCTTGGAATGGAAACATAGGCAATCAGCAATATGAACAACATAGTGTTGCAATTAACTTCATATGACTTCATCAAAATTTTTCGAGAATTTGAGTTAAAATAAGCAGCTCAGCATGGTCTCAAAATTAAAGCTTATAATATTTACTTATAATGCCACAAGCTAGAAAACATAGTATCCAATCGAATTGCAAATTTTTAATCCAACTTTTCCATTTCAATCAAATGGCGGAGAAATCAATTTGATCAATTGGACTACATTTAGCAATTTGGAACTATAGATTCCAGCCCAGTTTAAAAACAACGTATGTGCCATTAGTTTCCCTATGCACATAAGTGGTTTTTCGGATGAGCCAGCATTTATAGGTCCAAATTGCAAAATGCAGTCTAATTAGCAAAGAAAGCTTGTTTGATTTCAATCGAAAGAGCGAGTTCCAGGATTATTGTTCTGCCATCAAATGGACTGCATTTTGCAATTTGGAGCTATAAATTCTGGCTCATCTGAAAAAACACTGATGAGCATTGGGAAACTAATGGCACATACGTTGTTTTTAAACCGGGCCGGAATTTATAGTTCCTAATTGCAAAATGTAGTCCGAATCATCATACGCCTATAAACCTGCATTATCTATCTCGCCTTTAACCGCTTCATACGCATGCAATACATTGTGCTTCTGAATATCGATGGTTAAAGTCGAAAATTGCGTCTACAGCATTGCAATGTTTCGGAATCTTTTAATACATTCTATATTTTAAATAGAAAACCTGCTGGAATATCTTCTTGGCATTTTCTGTGAATATAATTAAATAAGTAAAGGAAATACCTAGACTTCTTCTTCTTCTTTTTTTTTAAAAAAAACTGATTGGAAGTTGCTTTCAAAAAACTAAAATTTGAATGGAAATTTACAACGTCGCAATCGGAGATAAGCACTTTCTGACCGTAGCCATCAATAGCTGAGATAGCCTTTCAACATTGAATAGAGACATTATTTATTGATTAGAAGCTATTGTGGTATAATCCAATTATCCTAGCATCATCATCATCATAGTCCAAGATGTTAAAAAAGCTAAAGAAATATAGTGCAAAATCCCCTTTTCCCCTGCTTCACTTGTCAGAATTCAGCAACAGTGGTTCGCATTGGTTTATATAAAAAATGGCCAGAGTAAAATTTACACGAGTAATTGAGATCTTAACGATAAAAAGTTCTCATTAAGTCTGCACTCAACCCAGCTTTGGTCTAAAACATAAGAAAATGTTGCATCTTGTCTATGGTCTTGTCTATGCTATCATTTCTCTACCTCCGATTTCTTTAATTTAAATATTGTAAACAGTTTTAAAAAGCCCGTAAACAACGTCTCAATTCCGTGAGGATTTGTCTAGCAAACGCTTCATGCAGCTAGAAAGTATTAAATACGAAAATAGTGAACGATCCAATGTGAAATCGTAAGACGAGGACGATGATATCATCTTTCGCGAGTGCCAACTTGGGTTTGGGTCAGCTAGGCATCTAAACTAACTCCATGGCAATGCGTAGAGTATCTCGGGACGATGAAGGCGCTCTGAACTTCTGTTGATATAGTCGCCTCTCACAACAGAACCGCTATCAGACAATCATAATTCATAAGCCTGGGACAATCGTGCGTTGATTTATTTTACTATTGTTACCTTATGATTCCTCAAGACAATCATTAGATTTTAAACGGAACGTCTAATGACGTACTGACAGGATTATTTTGAGATTTAATCGAGGCAAGCTTCGGGAAATCAACTGAGAACTTTTAATCTTAAAAACTGAAAACGCTTAGCATTGAAGTCGAGCGTTAATGTTGAATAGATACTTAGGTTTTTGCGCGATGAATTGAAAAGTAAGCGTCTCATTGAATGACGTTTTCAAAGATTTCGGGAAGTTAGCTTCGCAAAGATGAAATCTCAGGAAACCACAATTTCCTTCGGAGGCGTCCTCATGATTTCGAATCGATTATTAAAGGTAAAAACGTTACACCTCCAATGATTCAAGCGTTGCCAACTTCCTCTCGTGTTTTACTATAGTTACAGAAAACTATTTCCTTTTATGTATCACCGGAATTTCCTCACTAAAGTAATTGTTTGGCTTATTTTTGGAAATTGTTTAAAATTATTACCTTTACTATTTCATATTAAAGCCATTTGAGCGTGAATATTAATCTCAGCTTGCGATAACATGGCAACAAGTTTTTTCTTTTTATGTAAACAGTACCCTCCTTCTGTGAAAGTTTTCTGAGATGTGAGTCAGTCGTCCTATATCTCATACTTTCAGTCTATTTTTAAATGATTTAAACTAATATAAGTAGTAGTAGTAAAATAATTTTATTTTTAAGCGGTGCTTTAGCATCTAAGGCCATTTACACCTCTAAAGAGGGCAGTAACAATAATAAATTTACATGGAAAGACAAACGGAGTTTATTTCAATTTTAATAAAATCATGCGGGGAATAAAGCCAAGGAAATAAATAAAACAAAATTAATAATTTATTAAGTAAAATTGGAAAAATGTGCACAAATGATATAAAATAATACATCAAAAAATCATAAGAAATTGTATGTAATGAACTGGCAGTGGAGTTTATCACTAAAGCTGAGTCACCTTGTACACGAGGTGAACTAAAATACCTGAATAATGGGTGAAATTTTAGTATGAATGCCGTTTATCGGTTGCAATAAGACTGTTCTTTACATTATATTTTTTAATCGTCTTGAATCCTCTCCCCCCTCCACATCTCAATTCGGCAACAGGGACAGGAGGTAATTAAACATTTTCAAATGGCAATACAGTCCTTGTACCGTAGAGGTCATAGTGTAACTTCATCGGACCAACATTTTAAATGATTGACTGCCGGGTGAGAGGGGGTTTCAACCAAAATGCACCTGAATAACATAAGCTGACCACAAGAGCTTTTCTTTCTATGTAGAATTAAATAGTTAAATGATGTACCATGAATTCAATTACAATCGTTATTTCTACTAAAAACTTGTATAATCTTTGGTAAAATATAAAAAATTGTTCAAAACTTTGCAAAATAGATAAATTGTGAACTATTACCAATTTAAAAAAAAAATAGATAGAAAACAAGCTATTGCACAGGTGGTCAAAACAAGTCGTTATCAGTCCCACACGCAGGAAGGAACTTACAATTAGTGAAATGAAATTATGCAAAACGAGAAATCAGGTACATAATACATATGAGGCTGTTTTGAACAATTAGCATATTTAATTAATTTTCAGTGGTAGGCACATATCGAAGGCAAATAGTTAACGTGAAATTTCAAGGTATGCGATGGGTATATCATGATCCAAATGAATCAATATTTTACTGAGGACAACATTATACATATGTAAAACCAAAATAAAATTCATTTAACGAGGTCGTTGGCCATGACACTGAGTGTTATTTAAAAATGAACCATTAAGCCTTGAAAAAGGTTTTCAATTGCAACAAAAAGTTTTGTACGTCTTCAATGACCAATTCAAATGAAGCAGAGATACTGGTCACACATTATTGCATACTGGTTCCTTCTGGAGAACCTCATACATTCCTTCCGTACATTTTTTGGTGCTGAATGAACTATTTTTGCTTAACCATAAATACTGAGGGAGCTGCTGCATATACATAGAAAGTGGACACAGTTTTTGGCACCACAGAAGTGATGCTACGTTATCCCTTCAAAAATCTATATCCCAGTTAGACAACTCGTCAGGAACTTCTTTGCAGTCTTGAGGATAGAAGTCAAAGTTTGAAGTGTCAGTTGGACTCCTTACCTGAAACCACCAGATAATAAAAATTGTAAATTTATCTTGAATAATTCCTCACTTTTTCTTCCCTATTTTGATAGTCAAGATTACATAATATGACACAAATAAGGTCGTCCATGGAAAAAAGGCGTGAGTGCCAAAATGTTGTCTTGAAAGAGTTTCTTTTAAGTTTTTGCCCTATTCTAGTTCTCTTAGCCTAATTCTACCCCTTACGATTTTGGCTCTATATATCCTAGCTTCATTAGAAGTCTTCGAGGCAAGCAATTCGGTAAAATTGACGAAACTCAGAAAAATTCAGTGGGTTGTATCAGCTTACCCCAGGAAAAAGACTTAGAAAAACATTTTCCGCAACTGAGAAAAAGAGAATTTTGGTTCAAAAGGTTAAACAATAGAAAAAAGTTTAAGAAAATCTCACCTCTTGAATGATTGGAGGTTGTAGAGTTTTGTTCTGCAACCCAAACCAGTCGAATCCTTGGAACCATCTGCATCGATAAAAAGAAATCAGAGCCAATGATTAGTGAGTGAATGTTTAAATTAATCTAAAATCGAAGCGGGCCCGTACATCTTCAGATGTGCGGGCTTTTTCAGTGCCAAATTTTCCGAGCCGGCATGTAGAAAGTGTGAATTGGGCTTGATGAACAATCGCAAATTTTCGTCTCAAAATTGCAAGCTAACGAACGGTCATTGTCTGTTTTGGTGTAAAGTCTTTGATATGCGCTCCTCATTTTTCAGCAGAGCAGTTATGAGAACTTTTGCTTGCAAATTTTTATAAATTTTCTTTGAATACAGCCAGTTATAATACCTTACGATTTGATGATATTTGCTTCTAAAAGATTCCAAAAGAGACAATTAATTGCAGTTAGTCACACCTGATGATGACTTTTCAGTTGATTTTCCCAAGGGACACACAACCTCGGAATATTGTGTTCATTTTCTGAAGTATGCTTGATTTAAAGGTGATTCTATGTGATCTAGGGACGAAATTCGCCACTCCATTGCGCTGCTATGCGGTTTATGTACTTGAGAAGCAACACTTATAGTTACGTACAAGTTAATGCAAGAAACTAATCCATAACGTGTCGCAGCATTAATACTGAGTAAAATGACATCAAAGGGTAGATTCGTTGTATAAAACCTGAAACTACGACAACGGACGTCGCCCATTGACTCAGTGTGTAAGAGAGATAGCTCTATAATGACTCTCTCTATAACACATTGAGTCAGTGAGCGACGTCAGTTATCGTAGTTCCAGGTATAAATTTACAATAAACCTACACAAATTTGATGCCATTCTAATCAGTATTAATGCTACTACACGTTATGGATCAGTTTCTTGCATCATCCTGTACATTACGATAATTATTGCTTCTCAAAGCGCAAACCGTTAGCGCGACATGGTGGCGGATCTCGTCCCTGGATCACGTAGAATCACCTTAAGTAGGTAAGTAGCATCTCTAAGTAAGGAGAACTTTTTTGAGGTAACACACTACTTTTTATATGTGCATTTGATTTAATAGGGTTATTTTTTTCAAATTTTTTTTTTTAAAATTTTTTGAAACATGCTCCGCTTTGAATGATCTGCTAGAGTGGGCGCCATCCGAAGCATGTGGTGCTTAAGGATACTATAAAGCACTTACTTGTGTTTTTTGACATCCATCAAACCGTTCCTTTGACATCCAATTCTTTCAGCAGGACACTCATGACACAAGCGCTTGATCAAAGTTTGAGCTGTTCTAGACACATGACGTGGAAATGAAACGTAGTCCATTCCTTCAAGAATCAGATTATAAATTTTCATCGCATCAGGGCCTTTGAATGGAGGACTGAAACAAACGAAAAATAGGAGAATGTGTCTCTGAAATAAGGGCAAATGGATAAATTGTCATCAATTTTTATCATAAGAGAACGTTGCTATCCTCACAAAAGACGAGAAAATTAAAGTAAAAACTGACTAAAATGACAGCGAAAGTGAAATAATTTAACATTCCAGGCAGATTGCATGTAATCTGGAATGTATCATTAGCCGATCGACCTAATGCAAGAAAACATAAGGCAAAATTTACACGCACGGAATAAAATGGGTTGCTGATTTGACAATTCAATTGTTGATAAAAGTGACTGCAATGTTTCAAAAGTACATTTTACAAGAGTGGAAAGCTAATTTAACCACGGAGATGGTTAAAGTAGCATTTTTTGTTATAAAATCTACATTAAAACATTGCAGTAACTTTTTTCAACAATTGAATGGTTAAAATAACAATTTAATTTTTTCCGTACAAATACAGTATGCTGGAGTACTCAGTGATCAAAGATGTGAAAAAGTTGATTTGACATAATTGTGATTGATAAAACGAGAAAGAAATTAAATTTTAGTTTTCTTTAGAGTTTCTTTAATTCGTGACATCATGCAGAATCAATCCGTGAAATTTCTTGATTTTCAAGGCGCATAATAGTTACATGAACTTCCTGCTCTAGCAATTTTCAAACTATTTTCTCCCCAATTTTTCGAAATTACCATGAAACCAGTTATTCTGCACACTAAACATTTGATTCGCTCTGAATATGTCATCGCGGAAGAGATAGAAGCAAGTATTTTTCAATGTTAAATGGACGTAGTTCTACCAAAGAGACCTATGTGCAAGTGAAAAATGTGGGGTGTGCTCTAGAAAGCTGGATAAGAAGCAATGTAAAAGTGGGTGTGGTTCCTTTTGAAGAATTGGAAAAGCGGGATATTGCATTCTATCAAAGAGACCTATGTGCAACTGAATGCGGAACTCATGAGCCGCGGGCATGGCAAGAGAGCCTTGTGCACAGGGCTCATGAGTTAAGGGCTCACTCCAACGATCTCCCCGTCGTTAGAGTGCGCACTATCATTGCCGCTGACGTCACTGGCGCACAATTATTCCCATTCACTCTTACACAAAGAGAACTAACGAGCACACCCCACATTTCTCACTTGCACATAGGTCTGTTTGCTAGAAATACGTCCAAATAACACTTACCAGCCGCTAAGCAGTTCAAATATCAAAATTCCTAAAGACCAGTAATCAACCGCTCTGTCATGTCCTTTGTTCAGGATTACTTCAGGGGCAACGTACTCCGGGGTGCCACAAAAAGTCCAAGTTTTCATGTTATATGAGAGACGTTTAGAAAATCCAAAGTCAACCTAAAATAGAAATTTTAGCGTTTAATACTTACAAAACTGAAATTTTTGTCAGAAAAAAAAAAAAAAAACATTTGCTGCTAAAATAAATGGCCTCTGTACGTTGCACCGTCAAATTTGAATAAGGCGCAATGGCGCGAGGCATGAACTCACAATGCTTTGCTATATGCTTTAAGTAAAAATTCGCTCGGATTTGGGAAAAAAGTAAAAATATGAGACACGAATACATCTCTCCTATCTTCCGCTGCGTTGCTCACATAGCCTTTGAGGTACCACTATGAATAAGACAAAGAGACACAAACGCGATATGAAAATAAAGGAAGGGAAAGGACGCGCGTTAATAACGGCGCAGAGATACAACTATTCGTGCTTGATTGATGTCCATGTTGCGTCTGCACAATTGAAGGCGCTATCGCGCTAGGCATGAACTTGCAATGCTCCGCTCTATGCTGCCGATAAGGCGTCTCCTAAGAGGGTCTCTCCTATCTTCGGCTGTTTTGATACTCGATCCTTTTTGTCAATTATTGTATGTCTGATTCTTTTCGTGCGATGTATTTGTAGACCAACTTCCAAAGCTCGCATGTACCGGCTTTATTAATTTACTTAGATCAATACTCTATTGATTTAATTGCTTCTTTTTTCATAGTTTTTAATATGCTTACCATTTTCACATAACCTTTGGCATCTAGCAGCAGATTTTCTGGTTTAAGATCCCTGTAAACTATTTGATGACTGTGGAGATAATGTAGCGCTTCAATAACACAGGCAGCGATGAAACTTGCAGCATTGTCATCAAAACAACCTCGGTCCCGTAGGATAGTCCACACCTCTCCCCCTAAACATGGCTCCATCAGCATGTAAACAAACTTTGAGTCGCGGAATGTCTTATATAATCTGAAATTTACAAGGAAACATTAGTTTTGAGACTGCAAATGATGCTGAGTGAAATATTAGTCCTTGCAAACTAAAACTATGCATTAGTTTTTTTCATCATATTAAACCTAGATATACGATTGAGTCAAAATCATCAGTATTGACTCCTACAGATGGGTTTTACAATTTGCCTCCTTTATTTGTGCAAATTTAAGTATTTTTATAATTGAAGACATGGTAAATATGATATATCATTTACCATGTCTTAAATTACTTGGCCAGCCAAATTTGGCATGAAATTGTATTTATAATTAAATGTGTGTTGAGTGAGCGTGACAGACTGACGGATTTTTTCGCATTTGGTCTCATTTTGAAGTCGATTGCAAGACGGGTGTGCATCAACTTTCGATTTTTTTCCTGCATAGTTTTTCTCGTTTTCCCCGTTTTTCATCAAACTATTTTCAAAAAGGAAGGGTTATCTTCGTTTTTACAAGGAGGGATTAATTTCCCGATTTTCTTCCTAAAAATTATTGTGAGCCGATACAGGACGATCTGCCGAGTCAATATTTTCCTACAGAAGCACGCGAGAAAAGTTGCAGAAATAGTAGATCGATAATTTTTTTTAATTAATCCATGACAATCATTTCAACTCATTCAAATTACTTCTTCCTTTTGAGCTGCTCATGTTTTCAGTTTTATTTTAAAGCTAAATAAATACAGCTGATGGGTTTAGGGTATGAGTTTATATAAATGGACGTAACATTATTAAGGAGCTGAACTTCGCAATAGCGAGCTGAAACGTTTTTTTAGTAATGATTTTAAAATATTTTCAAGCCAAAAATTGCCCAACTTTCCAAAAATCATGTGCAGAAAAATGTGTTTCACTGTACAGAAAGCACGTGCAATTTTTTACGAGTAGCTCTATCAAAAGAGAGATGAGCATGATCGAAGCCACCCAAAATTTTCTAGTAGACATGAAAATTCAAGGTTCAGTAGCGAAATTTCCTGATTTTTCTCTGATTTCGCACCGCTGTGTGAAGTAAGTGCACTTGTCACCTTACTATATTGTCACAAATACTTTGAAGCTTAGTCTTTTAATTAGAGCGTGCCGAACAAAAGGTAGAGAATTCACATTTAATAGACTTTTTTTTGGCAGTAATTTGTAATTTGACGTAAAAAAATATACTTCACTAAGGATTATTTTGGCACGCTGAAAACTGGCCTCTTCATTCTGATATCATAATACGGTTTTATGACTAGCATATATGATCCTGGCACAGTCAATTACCTGCAGATGAAAGGATTCCTGCATGCCATCATGATGTGTTTTTCATTGTAAACATGCTCTTGTTGATGTGTGTCTACAATGTGCTGCTTTTTCAGGCATTTGAGTGCATACACTTTAGTTTTGTCTGACTTAGATTGGACTAGCTCAACCCGACCGAATCCTCCGATGCCCAAAGTAGATATCGGTGTCAAGTCTTCTATTTTTATGTTCCTAAACTCTGTTGGCAAGAAAATAGATGTCTTAACTAACATGAAAAACATTAAATGATTAATTGAGGATGATTAAAAATAGGCGAATGATTAGGTAATTTCCTATCTCACAGAGTAACCTATTTTATTCAATTATAAAACTATCCCTCGAAGCCAGAAAATGGGGTTGGGCAGATTAAGCAACGATAAAGGCTCTCTGAAATCAGATTCATAAGTTTTTCGAACGTATGAAGACTGTACGACAAATTTTTTGAATATGGTTCCGGTCAAAACTATATTGCAGCAGAATAAAGGAACTTTTCCCCTTTTTCTGGCAACTGTAAGACTGAGAAGCAAGGTTTGCAGAAGTTCAAGTTATTGATTCAAAATAACTGTAATTGTATGTTTGAAATTGAGCATATCCTACATTGCCACTCCTTTTCGAATTTTAGAGATTTCTTGAAAGAATGGAGTTGACTCCTTATATTTACGAGAGTAATGATCAAATTAGCCAGAAAAGTCGAAAATGCCATTGAGGGTGGTTCATGCATATCATCATACAAATTTAGTATTCATTAATCTCCTTTGAATTTTGAACCAATAAATGTGATAATCTGTTTAAATACTAACCTGGCTCAAGTTCCACACGATCAAGAGTATCTTTGGCTTCTGTTCTTTTGGCAGGAATTTCGCCCTCATATCGTTTTTCCTTCAATTCACTAAGACCACCAATGAGTTGAATGAAGGGACTAAATAAACAGAAAACATCATCGTTGTAAAGAAAAATATATTCGTGGCATCAATTGCTAGAGGATGCTAAAGAGAGGTATGAACCACTAAGGTATGATGTGAGTAATTATGTTTTCAATTTTCAGTTTCTTGATACCGAAATGATGTTCAGGGTCTTGAGATAATTATATTGAAGAAAAATATGAAAATTGGAACAAGAAGTGTCAAAAAAGACGAGCGAAAAAGGGTGGTTGGGGAAAAATATGGATTGTTTTCAAACACATTAATTTATTTCCCTCCGTACTTTCCTCTTGAATGCAAGCATGCGTAAAAGCTCTGCTAAATAGGTAATAAAAAGGTGCTCAGTGATCAGAGGAGTTTAATGATAAGACTTTTATTCTTCTTTCTCAAAAAAATAATGGCTCCAGCACGTTTTCTTTTAACATTGATAACTTTTTATCTTAAAACAATACCAACTTACCTAATAAATCAATAAAAGCAATACCTATGAATAGAAAAGGAAATATTAAGTATGTAGTTACACACTACAGATGAAAAACATTACAACTTTTAGTATTTGGTCCCTACTTTTAAAATAAATCTCTGAGAAGTATAAAGGTAATTTAATTCTGAATGATATTTGAATTGTTTGGGATCAACGTGCCCCACTTCTTCATACAGGATACATCAAGCATTAATGGGCTGAAATTTGTCATAAACCTATAATTGAGTTCAAAAACTTTTTAACATCTGAATTGAAAAATTAAGGCAAATCTTTGTAGCGTATCGGACTTGCTCAACCAATAATAATGAAATGTTTACATAAACTTACCATGGAGATAGTAAATATGGACTTGACTTACCAATTAGGAACCACAATTCCGTAAAAACACTTATGTATATAGGGAAACTAATGGTACATACGTTGTTTCTAAACTGATCCAAAAAGTATAGTTCCGAATTGCAAAATGTACTCCATACATTCTTCAAGAGATTTAAAGTTGTCCCAAGGTATTCTCCCAAACATTGCAATTAGATCTCCTGTTTGGCTCAGTATTCTATAGAATGCCTCTTGAGCCTTGACATTTTCTTTAATGTCTGCAGTTCCTATCAATAAGAATCATAAATAGTATTAAAGAAAAATTTGAGAAAATTTACCCTCGGTCCAGAGACAAACATTCAACACCAGGTGCTGTGGCTATCACACTTGCTGAGCGGCACTCTTCTTTGAGAAGAGCTTGTTCACCAAAATAATCGCCCCTTTTCAGCGTCCGCACCTCCTCCTCTTTATTTGTTCCTACAATAACATAACATGACATTAATTGAGATCAAGAAGTTAAAAGTGTTTTGTTTGTGTGTAGATAATAGTGTTTTAATTGTTTTGCCTTATTTAAATAAATACCAATGAATGATTTGGTAACTATTTATGATAGGAAACTGAGAATAAGCAAATGATTCTTCGTGAGACATACCTGGTATTCTTTTTGTGACCCGTACACTTCCGTTACTAATAATATAAAAAGTATCACCGTGAGCTCCCTCTCGAATGATGTAATGTTCAGCGGGGAAAAATTCCTGCAAATTGCAATAAGAGGCATTGAATACTGTTGAGGAAAAGTAGTGTAAAACATTTGGAAAGTTAAAATTGAAAATTCTCAATAAAGGACAAAACTCATTCTTGATAGGAAATTGAATAATGCAAAAGAATACATAAGTAAGGATTTCATGCGTTAGTAAAAATTGACTAATATTCTGAAAGTGCTTAAGACTGAGACCTCTTCTGCTGGCAGTTTTATGGGCGTCTAAAAAGCAGTAGAAATTCTGGAAAAATTACGGAGAATTTGTTCACTTCACTTTTATAGACATAACAAGATAGGGTAAATTACGGTTCAATTGTAGTGTTACTCTGTAAAAATAGCTAAGACGAATACGAAAAAAACTGCTTAAGAGCCATCTATCTATTAGTGTTCCAACTTCAGTGAGTGCAGGAGTGCCATAGAGAGGGATTTCTAAAAATCAGACCTTGACGTCAATAAAAAAGAGACCTGTAGAAAATTGATGCAGCCTCGATTTCTGATGCATTTTTGCACCCATCAAAATTTCTTTTTGTATTGTATTATTAAAAATCTTTTAAAGGAATATCTTCAAAAATTTTAGGGTGAATTTAGAACACAGCTATTAGTGTCGATACGACTATAACTGATAAAAACCTACTAAGGTAATTTATGTAAACTTACAACTTGCAAGACATCTGCAATTTTAGCCAAAATATTAGGTGACAAAGATTGGAGTAAAGGTACACTTTTTAGGAACTGAAGGCTGTCTTCCAATCTCTGTAGTCCAGTCCTCATCATTATTTGTTGGAAAACACGCCGATCCAGTACCCATACTTTGGCATCGTCGATTACTGAAAAAATACAGGCACATTCATTAACACATATATTTGCGTAAACGAGCATCAGAACTCAAACGTTTTTTTTATGAAAGAAGACGTTTTAATCCTATCTCGTAGGATATGTGTATACGAACATGGAATGAAAAAAAAGTGAAGGACTGAAAAGTAAATTCCATTGCATATATTTATAAGAATCATTTTTTTAGATCTGCATATTCCTATCTGTTTTAATAAGTTTTCAATGTTGGACCATGGAGGCACTATTTATAGCAGTTCTCCGAAAGTGGAACTATGAGGTGTCTACGGATGTTTAAAGTGCTTACTTAAACAACTATTACCCCCATGGAGAAGTTGTGAGACAAAGCAATGAACACTTTGCTTCTTCATTACATAACTATAAAAATTTCAAAACATTGAAAGCGTTGTCTAGAAATAAATCGATTAAAATCTTTTATCATACAATTTTAGTAAAAGCTTACAAGCGCAGCTATTTTCACCTTCCCTATAAGACTCACAAAAAGAGAGTCAAAATTATGCAGATATGATTCGGATGAAACGGAAGGTATCTCACTGAAAATGCTCAGTAAACAGATCAATGAGCAATAATTCCCTAACTGATTTTACTTCCCTTTTCAAAAGTCGACGTTAATCATGCCAATATTCTGCAGGATCTTCTGGCAGTTAAATACTTGTTCCATTGCATAGCTCCTGTAAAAGTTTATTAGTTGCAATTCACGGTAGTTGATACTCAAAATTACCTTTGATTGAAGCCGTTCGGGTACAGTTGTACAAAATTGCCAACTCTCCAAAGGCAATGCCATGACCCATTCGCCCCAAAATCTTATTGTCCTTGATTATTTCAAACTCGCCTTCAGCAGACACGAACAAATGTGCTCCTGTAATAAATGAACCCGGTCATTGTTACACGTCTGTATGGTGAAGGAGACAGGTCTTAATGTTCTAATGTTCCACGAGCAGAGTTTAGGAGCTAACCATAGTATTATAAATGAGCATTTAAGAGTATTCGAATAAACATTAGTATGGCTCCCTGCTTGAACTACAATTCTGCAAGATCATCCCCATTTTTTTTTAAAGAAAAAATTAGAAAGAAAAAAATAAACGCTTCAGAAAATATCAAATTTTTAAATCTTCAAATTGCAACGATTAAGATGAGACAAACATCTAGTTTTCAACATCAATCTCGTTAAAATATGAATCCAGCTGATCGCCATAAACATTTATGTAGCTCCCTTAATTTTTTGAAGTGCAGTATTCTCCCTTTCCCTCCCCCTCTCCATGTAACGAATTGGCGAATCGAATCTTAACGATTTTCCGTTAGATATAGGTAAATTTTAATTATAACGAGCGGGGCTCAACAAACATAATAAGTTCCAAGAATCGAACAATATTTCTATGATAATGGGTTTCGTTATACAGATGGAGAGAGATTACTGCAGTGGTACAGTATCGAATCATTTTTCTTTGAATTGAATAAAATATTAAATTTTACCTGTGTCTCCTTGACGAATGACAAAATTTCCTCTTTTGTACTTTTGGGGGTACATTGAATCAACTATTTCCCTTATTTGTCCGGGATCTAAATTTTTTAGAAAGTCGTTGCCCATTATTGCTTGCTTTATCAGCTGTTTTGACCTGTAGTCACACAAAAAAATAATTTAATTGGATATTTTTGCGTAAAATTTGATAACGATTGGTAGATGGATGAGCAATGTACAAATAACAGCAATAAATTGAGAACTGACGGAGAAGAAAAGAGGAGCTCCCAAATTTTACTAAGTGTTCATTGAGTGAGGGCGTAAGACTATTTAGAATAATATTCTCTAAATTGTTGAGATTAAAGAGGCGTCTTATAAAGAGGTAAACTTGAAGCATAAAGCCTTGTCCATGCGGGCGCGGTTCCAGGAGCTTCGGGCAAAATTGTTCGAGAAACTTGTTAAAAATCAACTATAACTTATTCTTGAAACCCACAGTTCGCCGAACTAATTCGTCCTAACTAACGTCCTAACTGCGCTAGTGTAGACAAGGCCTAAAACACAACTCCCCGCTCTCTACGATTTTAGGTCTTATGAAAAAAAGATCTTCTTTCCCATGCAAACTAAGCTGATCATGATTAGCAGTAAGATAAAAAAGGATGCACTACCTAAAATCTTTTTCATATCTACGGATGTGAATGGAATTGGATGTCTTGCCAGTCTGACAACTTTCTCCCGACACTCCTTGACGCCCTGATTTTCCCTGATTGTTTGGTTGATCATAATCGATCGGAGGTAGAACATTGTCTTGGTTGAAACTTGTTGCTTGCTGCAGTACACTCTGTTGACAAAAAAATAAAATTATTATTACAGGATTACTAACTGAAAAAAATTGAGTGAGTTCTTAGAGTAATAAAATGATAGAGTATAGTGTCGGGCCCTCATTGCTTTGCGGGGAAACAAGCATTACAAATTCCAAAAAAACGTCGTTAGATAAAAAAAATTGAACTCTAATGAATATCAGCGAAAGCCTGAAGAAGGGGGGAGGGTCACCTGCCTGAGCACTTACCCTTCCGAGTCTTGTTCTATGGCTCAAAATTGTTGTATCTAATTGATTTTTTGGAATTTTTTGCCCTCGATGCCCCCATAGAATACTGTCGTGCTGAGGAAAAACGCTGTATGAACCTTCAGGCGTTGCCGAATATATTTTGATAAAACACGAATTTCCTGGTAAACATATTAATGTTGTTCTTCCAATTTTTCATATAATTTTGTTCGCAATTTCACCTAAAGTTCCTGAAAATTTCAAGGAAAAATATGCATAACTTGCCTAAAAAATAAACAATTTATCGAAGGAAATTTGGCAACTCTCGAATGTTCATACGGCGTTCTTCCTTAGCACGGCAGAATAGTGCAGACTAATCACTATTCTACCATTCTGTTACTTACGATTCGGGCTACATGTTTTGCGTTTTTATTTTTTTCTTGAGCGCTTAACTGGGAACCATAAAACACCTCAGATATTCGCTCTAGGTGTGCGTGGAAATGTAACATCTTACACAAGCATGACAAATCGTACCCAATGCTGATGTTAAATCATTGCCATTCAAATGTTGAATGCGTCGTAAGGGGTTACGTATACGAGTATTCTAAGAACAGATCCTATGGCTCCGATTTCCAATAGAAAATTCTTCCAGGAATTAGGGATAATGAAACTCTGTTAACGGGGATTCGAGTTGAATGTAGGTAATACGAAAAAAAGTAAACATCGTTGACATCGAAATCATGTCGAATTCTGAGAACCGTTTACGTGTGATTTGACCTCATCAAATATAAGTTAAACCTACTTTCGTGCTGAAATTACATCAAATCGCCATTAGTAAAAGCTACTATTTCTGCTTGTAGGTTGTTGTTAAACTGTCTGCGTCGTATTTATTGGAGATAGTATGCCTTCACCAGTGTCACGGGGCATTAGAAGCAAATCTACAGCGGAAGCCTGAAAGTCCGGTCTTTACAAATTTAACGGCCACTTAGGTTAAAATTAAAATTGGAACAAATATCCATAATTAATGTTTAATTGACTCTCGAAAGAGTTCCGAGTTGATTTCTGTCGTAAATCTAATTAACAAGACCCTATTTATATTTAAAACTCCATTGGAAGGCCAAATATCAACACACTTAGCCCATTTGAATATATCTCGTCATTGGATCGGCGGTTTTCATTACATTGACAATTTTGAGCGGAATTTTTCTTTTAAAACAGAAATAACTAGGAGAAGTTCGGGATAAAAATGAAGATACTCTCATTAATGGGTTTGCTCAACATGAGGAGCTACGTGTGTAAGTGAATGGGTAAGTTGTTGCAGTCGGTGATTTCAGTAGGTAAGTGTGACCGATAGCAAGGTGCGTTGGTGTAAAAATTAAAAGAAAATTCACAAACTTACGCAAGTATACGCTTATCACACATTTGTATTATGTGTTCTCTTTGAAATGCTCATGCACAACGTAAATCTTTTAATTTTTTCATCCCACAACGCAAAATGTGGTTAAATTTTCGGGAAATAAGTAAATTTGAATTTTATTTTTTTAACCATCATCCACCTGAATTTTTACTTCAACTTGCCGAATAAGCAATAACGTACAACGTATAACGTATTCAGAAATTCTGGTTTTGAGACCAAGAATCCCTAGAGCACACGTGCAGAACAGCAACATCCGTATAACTGAATAGCAACAACGAGAATAATGCAGACTGCATTTCATGCTACTGAATTCCCTGCCGTGTCTTATTTTTTTTATCAGAAAATTTATATAATATTGCCTTGCAACTTCCGGAGAATCTTCCTTGGTGTAGAATTAATGAACACACACGTTCACTCAGTTTTTTGTTCAAAAAATAAAACACAAGAAGAAATTGGACTACATTTTCCAATTATAAACTACAATGTCTGCCTCAGTTTAGAAAAAAACTTAAGTACCATTCGCTTCCCTATGCATATATGAGTTTTTAACGGATGAGCCAGAAATCTCATTTCTTAGTTGTAGAATGGAGTCCGATTAGACATCAACCAGCGCAACCACGTATCTCTGTTTGCGACGTTTTGCAAACTTCCTGTCATTCTTCATTTTTTCTTGGGCAAATTGGTCAACCCGACTTCTTGAAAATTGCCTTGATTTTTCTTTTTTGCCGACAGAATATTCTGTATACATTTCAAGCAATAAAATGAAGATGTTGCATGTGTGAGGAATTTGCGATTTGACTGTTGATTCTTATGCAAAAGTTCGCGAGAAACAGGATGGTGCCACTGTTTTCTCTGAAATCAACTCCCGAGCTCAAAAAAAGCTCTCAAGTTGAGGCCAAAATGGAGGGGATATCCCACGCTACCTTGAGAGTCCACCTCTACATCAAGACAAACTCTCCATGCAAAGATAGGGAGCAAATACATTAGCAATGATGCCGTGTTTTCAGTTCTGGAGTCCCCAAATATAGTGGAAGCCCTGTCAATGTATTTGCCTCCTATCTATGCATGGAGAGTTTGTCTTGATGTAGAAGTGGACTCTCAGGATAGCGTGGGATATCCCCTCCATTTTGGCCTCAACTTGAGAGCTTTTTTTGAGCTTGGGAGTTGATTTCAGAGAAAATCAGTGGCACCATTCTCGCGAACTTTTATATAAGAATCAATAGTCAAATCGCAAATTCCTCACACATGCAACATCTCCATTGCCTTCTTCCTCTTTGAAAAAATATAACAGAAGCCACGATTTTGAAACACCTTGATGGAGTTACGGGGTTTTTGCACTTTAGCCATGGAGTCGGGCTGATTCTGGTCGAATTAGTCCAATTATTATTCAATATTTGAATGGTCTATGAAAAGTGACGAGGACCTTCCACTTTTTGTTGATCGAGAAACCGTATTACATCATGTTCTAAGTGAAGGAAGGAGGAAGGAACTAGACCGGCGCGTGTCCGAGTCCGAGTGATTAAACCATTACACTCTTTTTGCTTCATTGCCAAATTGTGTGTAATTATTAGCAATTTCACAGCTATTAAATAGCTACGCTTCACGCGGTTTAAGTCATTTTTTTCTGGGGATCCGACAATACTGTTCGTTGAACACGGATCGAATTGTCTGGGCTCGGAAATTAGGCTATATGTTCCCTCTTCTTTTCCCCGCCATCCAACGACTCTCCCACATTTCCAAGGTTAAAACACGGTGTCATCCGCAGTCCCGTCCAAGGCCTCCGAGTTCGGAACTAATAATATTTCCTCGCTTACGACGGAGGGTTTTCCTTAAAGTGGAAAAGTAAGATCACGATTTGATTTTTTGAGATCACAATGAGTCAATTGCGCTGGTTACGGAATCGGGTTTTGATAATTATTGGTTCTTGTGAATTTGCTAAAAATAATAAGATCTGTCCTAACAGCAATTCTATGTGTTCAAAATTGACCGAGATATCGCGCTTCGAAAAGTCGGATTTTTGACGCCATCCACCAGGGTTGTTGGGTCACCGTTACCATAGAAATGCAGTTTTTTACCATCTTTTCAGTGTGTATCAGAATGGTAGCTTGAGTGGATTTTGATTGTCCTTGCTTCGTACATTTTCTACTTTATCATCCCTTTGAAGTCAAAGATATCCTCAGTCTCTTATGTTCAGTATTTGTCATTTCAGTATCTGTCATTAAACTACGTGTGTTCTGTAAGTCAATTGTATTATTTCTTATGGTATTATTGCACTAAAGCTCATGTTCTTAGCATGAGATGGGAAGGGGAGATAACCTCATCTTTTTGGAATAAAACATGGAGGAACATTTTGGTGCCGTGACCAGGATTATACACAACGCAGGGGTGTCTCAAATGTATGTCTGATGGAATGTTATTGAAAGGATCATAGCGTGAAGGTGGATTATTGCAATTAGCTGATTAAAAGTAATCTTAAATGATTTGCAAGGATTGCTCGACAATTTGGCAATGTTGCAATGATTATTTAGTGGCCTATTTTCATTGATATAGTAAGTCAGCTGTTTTAGATATTATGTGGTTATTCATCGATGGACTGAGTTCGTTGAGACTCATCGGTGAAACTTGCTACTTATCAGCTGTTGTTGTAAGAAGAATAAATTTACAATGTTTATTTACATTTGGAGACACTTTAGACATATTAGCACGGCAGATGATGAGGTTGCCTTCTGTAGCTTTGTTGATTTGACTACGGTTCATTACGCGGGAACCGGATACTGCCATTGGTCTGTTTCCCGTCTAGTTTTTCTAAATTTGATATGATTTTCAATTATGGAAAAATGGAATTATGGTTTGATTAAGTTTATATTCGTCTGTAAGATAGATAGTTCGGTTTTCTGTTGCTGTTGTTACCTTGTTTCAGACAAGCAAGGTTCATTCACCAACGACTAAGAGCAAGAGAGTACGGAGCCAAACCTAGCCTTTTGTCCTTTGATGTCCTATGGTTACTCCTGTTGGTGAACGAGGAGGAGTAACTCCTGGCTGAATCCGCGGATCCTGCGTTTATAGGGTAATACCTCCCTGAAAAAAGGTGCATCATTCGATGCTATGGGTAATACCTCCCTGAAAAAAGGTGCATCATTCGATGCTATGGGTAATACCTCCCTGAAAATAGGTGCATCATTCGATGCTATGGGTAATACCTCCCTGAAAAAAGGTGCATCATTCGATGCTATGGGTAATACCTCCCTGAAAAAAGGTGCATCATTCGATGCTATGGGTAATACCTCCCTGAAAAAGGTGCACCTGTGAATGACATGACATGTTCATCCTTTGAGATGAATGTGTATTCGAGGTTGCAAATTAAAGCCCATGTTTGCAGGATAATCCCACTCCTGAACACAAAAAAAACGGGCGGTGCAAGTGAATGACATGTTCGTGCTGCGGTATGAATGTGTATCCACATGTGTGATACACATTCGTACTGTGGTATGGATGTGTATTCCATGAACGAGGATGTTGCTCCTGTTCGGATCGGTGTATCCAATGGGTGAACGAGGACCAACTCCTGTTCGGATCGGTGGATCCAATGGTATCAGGGTTGCCCCCCTGAGCACAAAAAGGGTTGCATCAGTGAATGACATGCTCGTACTTTGTTATGAAGATGTATTCGATGCTTAGGGTAATACCTCCCTGAAAAAGGTGCATCAATGTTCGATGCTTAGGGTAATACCTCCCTGAAAAAGGTGCATCAATGTTCGATGCTTGAGAGGACGGCCAAGGAAAAGGAGAGCGAGTAGTTGTCAGGGTTGCCTCTGAAGACATCATTAAGGATTGGATTTTCTGAATCCATGAGTTTACATTAGCACAATAAATGCAAACATTAATGAGATTTTGATTTATTTCAGTTTGATATCAAGAGTTTACTTTAAAGAAAAATGGAAGTCGATTCAAATTTGAAGCTGCAAGCGTTAGAAGTCGCATGTTTCTCATCTCAAGATCAATTAGATGGTTTTATTAAATTTATCCAGTCCATCTAAAAATCGTCGGATCTATATTCAGATGATGTGGAGAGTTCGAGGTCAAATCGTGGAAGCTTACTTGGTGTGAAACTACAGGTATTGGGGTTAATGGCTTGCCATTCCTGATTGCAGTGGATGAGGTACACGTTGAGTTGAGTTTGAATATTCAATGGATGGAGAAAAATTCAAATTCTAGGAAAAAAAACAGGAAGAAGCAGTTCCCTAAATCTTCGCCAGGTAAACTAATTTTTCCCCCAAAATGTAGCCTGTATGAAGTTAGTGTGGAAGGAAATGAGGATGTGTGTTTGCCGGAGGAGCTCGCTGGCAGAATCGCTGTCGGTGGCGGCTGGGTGTTGCGGAGCACACAGAAGCGCTGTGAGAGCGAATTTAATTCAGTATGAAGAAGTTAATCTGTGAGTCCTGGTAATGAACATAAAGGACAATTTCGTTGTTCAAAAATATTATTAGAGCTGCGCATGGAGTAAGTACGGAGATTTGATTATAATATTATTATTGACAAAAATTGAAAATATTACTAGCTAATGAGTGATCAGTAACGGGAATTTTATACTCAAAGAGCATGAAAAACTTTCATACTTTTCGAAATTTGAAATTCATAGAAAATACTTCCTCATGAAAATGTCACTACTGTGTCAATCGATGCTCAAGAGGGGAGGTGTGTATGCGGTGCGTTAAACGGTTTTTCTCACTTCCATGAAAAGTCTCAAGTAAATTTGTAACAGATAAAATGATGGTAGCGGACCTGAGTTAAGATATGATCCGCTGGTCCATTACATTGCGGACATCTCGTCATCTTGAATTTGGAGACGTCAAAATTATTTGACCCGTTAGGTATTACTGGTCAGTTAACAGTGACAGCTAAACTTACCATCCAGGACTTATGGAAGTTAAACTTCACTGGGATGAGTCTGTCCCTCGACTGATTTTTAAGAGTTGAAGACATTTTATTCTGATCATTCATCCATTTCGGATCTAGAAGTTAAGATTTGCCATGTTGCTGAATGAGGTATAAATTGAGTTACAAGGGTTTGCAGATGCTTCAGAGCAGGCATATACGGTATGCATCTATTTGCTTTCAATTAATGCATAAAACGAGATTTAATGTCATCTTTTGATCGCAAATTCATCAGTTGCACCTCTTCACTTAATATTCATTCCAAGATTGGAACTATGTGCAAATAGGTATAATTTTATCCAGGTTACTGCCTCAACTCGTAACTGCGGTGTGTTTAGAATTTGCATTAATTGGGCATTTTGACTCTAAAACTGCCTTTAGTAAGATTCATGAACTTCCTTCCGTTGGAGAATGTTGTTGCAAACAGATTTGCTGACAGTTAAACACTGAATTTGGATGTATAGTTATGTCATATTGAATCTGAGATCCATCCCGCTGGTTCAATTTCGCGGAATTGTCTCTGGGGGTGAGGTCTGAGGTTTGCAAAAACCCGAAGATTTCTCTTATATAAAGTTATACGATTTACCCCGCGACCCTCTGAACATCGGTCCCCGCCACGCCGTCCCAGCGCGTCTCGCGCCCTTGATGTTCGTTCGGCGGACCCCCCGCGGCCGGGTCTCCGTTCCCCCCGCGGGTTTTCCCGTTCCCACCCCCAGGGGGGTTGCTACGGGCCCCGGGGGTGGTTCCGTTTTNCCATTACTGATAAGTCAGTTTTTTTTACAATGAAAACTTTAATTATTATGAAAACCAGTGATTTTTACGTGTGTAGCACTAATTCCTCACTACGCAAAAACCTTAATTTAATAGTATTCAACTAAAAGAAAGTCTCCAAAGTTTAGAAAACTTTTAAGGCAGCATTAATTCCACGTCATAACTCAAGAATTGCCAAGTTTCATCTTTTGTATCATCTTTAATCTCACATTTTTGAGTGTCGGTTACGCTGTGTCTGTTACGTAACCGACACAATTTGGCAGGGCCCCCATGTTTGCGTGGACCTCCAGCAGTCCCGCGGGAAGCGCTGATACCTGATTCAATGGCTTATTTATCAATCACTTTAACTTTGCACTGAATCATTATAGAGCGTGCCAAAGCTGGAAAAAGGAAGTTTAATACCTTTAAAATGAGGTAATGAATTCCTGTTAAAATTGGTGCACTTTTATTTCTAAGGTATTTCACATTTTAACTATTCCTGTTATCGTAAAATCACCCACGTGTGTTCTGTAAGTCAATTGTATTATTTCTTATGGTATTATTGCACTAAAGCTCATGTTCTTAGCATGAGATGGGAAGGGGAGATAACCTCATCTTTTTGGAATAAAACATGGAGAAACAAGGGTAGTGACACCCTTGGTTTCTTCCACATTGCTTTCATCCGGGATTCACGTTGAGTAACCAGTGCAAACGTGTGTTTCCCTGAATGATGAAAGCAAGGTGGAAGAAACCAAGGGTGTCACATCCGCGGTGGATGACGTCATAAAACGAGTTTTTCAAAGCGGGCTATCTCGGTTAATAGTGGAAGTAGAAAGTTGCTGTTTGGACGAATCTTAAAATGTTTAGCTGATCTACAAGAGTCAAGCATCAAAACACGATTCTGTGACCAGCGCAATTGACCCATTCAGGGCGTCTCTGAAATTTCTTCGACTGTGACCCGGTGTAAATTTACGCAAAAGCCGGGAAATTTTGACGTGCGTATCGTCAGAGATTTGTGACTACACAAGATGTACTCATTGTCATTTACCGGAAAATTTTTGGTGAATTAAGGGAGACACCGCGGAATTCAGGCTGTTGTCAGAAAGTTTATAGAGAAATTAAGGGAAATTTAAGGGATGTTGATGCTCGCCATGGAAAAGTGCGAAGATTTCTGTGATTACAAAGAGATGGTTTTAGAACCATGAAAGCACGTCTTACGATGCAGTTTAAATACAACTCTCAACCCTACAAGTAAATAAAAATACAACTTCAATCGTTTTAACTTATCCTTTAATCGCAACGTCTGCTAATTTTTGGACCCCAGCTGTATAGAAGAGCTGTATGCTTGGAGCATTAATTGGCTAAGCCAATCAGAGATGGAGCCCCCTGGGTCAATAATGACCCCAGGTATTCTACGGACCACAGCTACTATATTAACAGGATGGCTTCCCGCAATATTCTGCGGGTAAATCAATGCCAAAAAATTCCAAAAATGACTTGTGTGATCTACTGACGAGGTTTAAGAAGGCCCAAATCAATTTCGGTCCCTCGGCCTAACCCTAATGATTTTGCCCAAGCTGAACAGTGAACACTTTACCCCTCAGTCTTGCACTAAAATCTTCAGAGGTTTTTTAATCGAATGAAATTCTTTGCCCTGACATCCTCGCAGAATAGTGTGGACCCAGTTCTAGACTGCTACCCGGTTACTTACAGTTGGAAGTATTTCTACCAAACAGAACTATGTGCGGGTCAGAAAGATGCTCGTGGCGAGGTGGCTAAGAAACAATTTAAAAGTGGGCGTGATTCCTTTTGATGAAACGGAAAAGCGGGATTTTAAATTCAGCAAATAGAACTATGTGCAAACTGTATGCGGGACTCATGAGCCGTAGGCATATGACGAGAGCGTTGTGGCCAGGGTCATGAGGTAAAGCTCTCAGTCATCGTTGTCCCTCCCGTCGTTGCCTCTGACGTCACTGGCGCATCATAATTCCCAAGCATTCTTACCGCCCGAGTGATAACGGACACACCCAATCTTTCCTACCCGCACATAGTTCTTTTGGGTAGGAATACGTCCAGTTCGGGCCACACCTACAGTGTTTTTTTCGAAGTTATAAGCTTACATTCAAGCATCGCTATCAGTGGCGATTGGATGTCGCAGAGCGCACAGAAGCGCTATAAGAGGGACTCGTTAGTAGTAGTACTAATCTTACATGCACGTATTTACGAGTGACTTCTTACCTTGAGTTTGTGTATTTCATGCCTGAGGCGAATTATCTCGTACTCCCTCTTGGTAACTTCCTTCCTGAGGATCATGACCTCCTCGTCGTTCTTGAGATTCAAGTCCCTGAGCCGTTTCTCCTGGGCGAGGATGACGCTGCGCAAATAGTCGTCGTTGGGGCCCCCGCCATCGCCCGCGCGGGGTTCCTCAAGCTCATACTTCCCGGCGTCGTTACCCATCCCTAGGTCCCGTGGGCCTGCGCAGCCGCGGTGGGGCCCCGCCGGCCCCTGCATGCGCGGGCACTGAGACCGCGGCTCGTGGGCCCCGGCAGCGCACTCTCGCGGACGCTGACACTCGCGTGGCCCGTCGTGGGCTTCGCAGCGGGGTCTGGGCTCGTGTGCGCCGGCAGCGCAGTCTCGCGGGCGGCCCTCGAAGTTGTTGCGGTGGTTGCAGAAGCACTTGACTAGCTGTTTCGTCTTGATCTCGTTCTCGCAGCTGGAGAAGAGGCTCCCGCACGCGTGTTTCCCGGTGACTGGATCGTGGTGGTGCTGGTTGTGGGCATGGGGGCTGTGGGCCCGCGGGGCCGGGGTGGGGGGCGGGGGGGCCGGTCTCCCCGAGCTGGTCGGGCCTGATCGGAGCGGCGAGTGGGAGTGCGCTAGCGGCGGGTCCGGGCGCTCCAGTTTGTTATCGCTGTTTGTGACCCGGTTTTCCTTATCGTCGCTGGCCTTACACGCTCCCGAATCGCACTTTCCCACTAATTTCTCGCTCGGAGCCGGCGCCTGGTTCTTTCCCGCTCGGTCCTCGGTTTTCCCACCGTTCTGTTCCTTCCTCGAGCATTGGTTCGCGCCCGTATGTTCCTCCGCTCGCTTGCAGTTCCGCTCGGCCGGCGGCGATGTTTTCACGATGATCGGTGTTGTCTTGTCGGGCCTCTTTTGAGCCTCATTTTTGTGGGAATTTTGTTCTTTCGCCGGAGCATTCTCTTTGGATCCGCTTGTTGACTCTACTTTGTTCGCTTTTTCAGGTTGATCTCTTTTCTCGGAGCAAGCTGCTGAATCTGATGATTTGACTTTTACTTCCGGCGGACATTGCTTTTCGCATTTTTGGGTTTTGTTCGAGGCGTTTTTGATGTCGGCCTCTTTTCCCGAGGGGTTTCCATTTTTGCCGGCTTGGACTTTTTCTAGAGGCTCCTCCATTTTACCCGAAAATTTATCCTCAGCTCAAAAATTGAAAGGTCATGATTCTCTTGTATGCCTGGTATGTAGTTCATCTGCTGACTGCTTCGGTAAGAAAATGATGTAGTGTAAAAAAGATATTGTCTTCAATCTCAAAAAGCACTTTTGGAAGAATGGTCCGAGCGACAGATGTTCATCCAGTAGTATTATCACCTGCAACACAATGAACACAAATCATTATTACAAATCATATTTTCTGCCGGGAGAACTATTAACATACATGTAGTATGCATATAGTATGCATGGTAGCAGAAACGAAGTTTCTCTTAAAAAATGCTTACACATAAAGTAATTGAAAGTACACAAGCATCTAAAAATTGATGAGAAATGAAAATTACTGAATTCATCTCGCTTTTTTAGATCGGACAAACATTAAATGTGGTGGAGCAATATTACCGAATCTATTGCAACATGTGTGTGGCAAACGCTTCTCTCAGTGCTCTGTTGTCTTTTTTCATAAGTTTACAGGTGGTATGTATTTTATTAGGAGGGACAGTTTTGTAAAGCCTGGTCATGGTATGTTGTCGAGCTTATCGGTTTGTCCTCCTGGGTTAATCTGATTTTGACTTTTATCGCTAGCAGAATTGATTTAAATCGAATGACCCCATCGGCAAATAAAAATACTAATTTATAAGGCAACCATATGAATTTTTTACATGTGCGTTCTTTTTTTTGTAATTTTTTAATGAATGATGCCTTTAAATTGTTTTAATTATCATCTCATCTAGCGATTCATTGCTATGTCCAAGGAAGTGACTTTACTTTTTTTTAAAATAACGGTAGGATTAGCTTGGGAAACTTGTAAAATTCACTACACGCACTTGAAAGATTACCACGCAAAGAGGAAGTATAACCTTGAAATGGGATTAAACTTTTCCTGTTTATAACGCCGGTCAAGCTGAAAAAATACTTTCTGAATTCTTAACGTTATTTTGAAATTTCTCGTCGAATGCGCCGTACAAGAAACGCCCAAATCAATTAAAAATACGATTTTGTTTTATTCTATGTTCTGGTGAATTTATTTTATTTTGCTACTATTTAAAATGCGGCAATAGGCATAGAGCACGGAAAGATCCAGGGATCTAATGAAGTAGAATGAAGCGATCCGAGGGAAATATACTAAACAAATTGCCGCCTCATGGCCTCCTTTTAAAACAATTTACGCACTAGATCAAGGTCCTAGACATTGGTCCTGGGAATCGACATGACATGTTTAGAAATCCAATCATAGTTTTGAGTGTTAATCCACCGTACTCACATGGCAATCAGAGGGTTGAACAATTACATAAATATAAACAAATTAATCAACTTTTTAGCCTCCTTTTAAAAAAACCAACGCACTAGATCAAGGTCCGAGACATTGGTCCTAGGGATAGACATGATATGTTTAGTCCCCCAATCATAGTTTTGAGTGTTAACCCAGCGCAGCGTGCTCACATGGAAATCAGAGGGTTGAACAAGTACGTAAATAAAAATATATAAACTTTTTCGCCTCCTTTTAAAGAAAACAACGCACTAGATCAAGGTCCGTGACATTGGTCCTGGGGATCGACAAGATATGTTTAGTCCTTCAATCATAGTTTTGAGTGTTAACCCAGCGTGCTCACATGGCAATCAGAGGGTTGAAAAATTACGTAAATATGAAAAAATATGTAAACTTTTTCGCCTCCTCTTTAAAAAAAATCGACGCACTAGATCAAGTCTGAGACATTGGTCCTAGAAATTGACATGACAAGTTTAGTCCCCCAATCATAGTTATGAGTGTTAACCTTTCGTACTCACATGACAATCAGAGGGTTGAACAATTACGTAAATATAAACAAATAAATCAACTTTTCGTTCGACTTGTTGAATATTTTTCACTTTTGGTTAAGAGTACTCGACACTTCCAAGAACTTGAAAACTGCGACACACGGATGGCACAGCCAGGACCTAATCCGTACCTCGACGCTCACAGATGCCGACAGATGCCGAGGTACCCGGCAATAAAGCGATAAGCGCGCGAAGTCAAACACGAAAATCCGCGACTTTCGTCAGGTCACAAGGCGCGGAGCCGAAAGTGCAAACTTGGGCGCGAGAAAAATAAAACACTGATAAGAGGGAAATGTGTGACAAAGTAAAGACTGGCGCGAGGGAATTGGGTCAAACGCAGCCGCCGCCGCCAGGGGCTTAGTGATAAGTCGAGCGAAAAAGATGGCCCGAGACACCCGAATCTCGTAAACATTCGGGCGGAAATGGAGATGAGCGGTACACGCGAAATGACGAGAAAAATTACCAGAAATCGAAAGTGCTTTCAGATGTTCCGGGAGCTCGGGGGAACCTATCAGGAGGGGGAGAGTGCCGTGGATTTGGGACGGGCCGCAGCTCCAAGGATGCGCACAGTGGGATTAGATTCTCCAAGAAGTGCCCAACCCATCATTTTCACTCTGAACTTACAATATGGATGGTTCTCCAAGAGATAATACGAATATTTTTAGTGTAATTTTGTTTGGGATTCCTCGCGGTAAGGGAGGTGGGAGCATAAGTCTGGCAACGCCTGACCGTCTAATGTTAATGTCGCAGGCGATTAGTGAAATCAGGCATTTTGTCAAATGCCTAGGCAGATAGTCAAATTTTGACGGTCTTGCAATTTTTGTGAATTTAAGGCGAGGAGCTCACAATTTTTCACTATTTTTGGATAAATATCTCATCAAACCTACGAACTCTTTTTGTCTCGTCCTCTTCAATTGCTTCTCTTATTATTAAATGTTGAAATTCCAAAAATTCTGTATTTTACGACATGCTGAAAATTTCAAGATCAATGTCTCTTCAGGAGCTAAAAATTGTTTAAAATACTATTGTGTATGCGAATTTTTACCGAGGATTTTTTCTTGCAAGAGCAATGAATTATTTTTTCTGAAATTAGGAAAAGAATCAGAATTTTAATCTAAGTTAGAATATTTGACTATTTGCCAAGGTATTTGACAAAATGCCTGATTTTCCTATTTGTCTGTGACATTTATATCATGATATTCGTAGGGACCGTCAATTGCACCAAAACTGTTGGTCGTTTAATAATATTTTTGATATACTAATACAATTTTGAAAAAACAGTCATCAGAGTGGTATGACGCCTAGCCTGGTTTAAACATGGAATGGTCATCTTGTCCAATGAGAAAGTATATGCTTGAGGATAAAATTTCTGTCAGAAGAACAATTGGACGTTTTTATGCTACAAGGAACTATGTCTCAAGCAAACCCTATGCACATAGTTCCTTTTGGCATAAAAACGTCCAATTATGCGGATCCAACGGCAATCGTGTCTAAAAAGTTGTTTTTGGCAATCGAAGGAGCTACTTGAAATCCCTCCAGTCTGAACCCTATGTCGATCTTTATCAGCCTAGGATCAATATTTTCCTGTGTCAGCTGCCTATTCACACTATTTCTACCGCGATATCCGAAAAACTAGCCAATGCATTCTACTGTGCGGTAGATTTAGAGTTAATTTGGCGGCACAACATAACTGTGGTCGAGTAAGTCACGGGCGATGCCACACACGTCATGTAGGTGCATTTTCCGTGAGAATACGCAGAATTCTTAATCAATGAAGACTTTATGGCAATGTTGATTATAATCGTTTTTCTGCATCCTCATCTCCCCGTTTTGTAACATGAAAGTCCATAAAAAATAAAGGCATTAAGGGACGGGGAATTGATGGAGGCAGATGGTACACTGCTGACGTCAGATAGTTCCGCCTGCTTTTTTCCACCACGTGACTAGAACTATTTTAATCTTGGCGCGGCGACGAGGGGGTCCCCCGAGACGCGTCGTGTATTGTCTTGCCAAATTGTCGGGCCATTTTATACCATGACACGATCGGAGCATAGTCAGAACCATGTGATACGAGATTTGGCAACGTTTCACGCCCCCGACATCTGTTATGACCACCTTCTCTCTTGTTATGTGTCAAACACTTTCTGATCCACGCTGTGTCTTCCGATCGGATTTCCCACGTTTTTTTGTAGGTGTATTTTTAATACTCTAGAATCAAATCACGCAGCAGCGTGAGCGGTTTCACTAACGACTAGTGGCGCTTTTTCACGGCGGGTCCACTGTTTATCCTCCATTTAAATCCATTGGAAATATCGATTTCAGGTGAGGCAAACTGCCATGCCAAAATCGATTGTTTTACACACATTCAAATGGAGGGAACACAGTGTTTCCAACTTTCGAGAATCGCCACTACTACGGGCCTCTGAAAATACGCCCCGACTCTAGTCCCGATTATTCAATTTGTATCTGACATACTAAAATTTTATCAGTGATCATTCATTCTTCATATTTTCGGAATGGCTATGTCATAATATTCGTCGTATGCCAGACGAAAGTAAACGTAACAAAATGTCATCCCAAATTTCTACTAGCAAATAATATTTTACTAAGATACGATCGGGCGTTTCCTGCTGAAGATTTCACTGATTTTTCCTCTTAGTACACGCAAAAGCCAATTTTTGACAAAGATTGCACTACTATATTTTTGTAAAGGATTGGGTCATTTATATTTATTTTGCAACCTTGGGATAGAGTTGTGTTCCCTCACGTAGAAAACGACTCGCTGAGAACTCTTGATGAAAAGTTTACAGTGGGAAATTTGTTGTTGTTGTTGTTGTTGTTGCTGTTGGTTCGGCAATCTGCTCTGGGTATTCAAAAATCAGAATCAAAATTCAGGCTGAATCAGTACGGATACGGCGCTGTGTTCCGGTACCAAGATAACATTGAAACTCAACAAACGCGGAAGGTTCATTTCACCCAGTGGAAGCGTGAAGTGAACTTCTAACGTGCCCCCCAAAGTTGCCTTCAATACGATGAATATGCAACCCACTATAGCCGTCCATCGTTCAGCATTAAAAGAGCTCGACTTGAAAATTCTTCGACTAGTTGCAATCGGATTTTAATGCTTAAAACTTAAGTTAGTGTGCGGGCTGCCATGACATTGAAATGTTTTTCTTTTGAAAGAAAATTCTATCCCATGAACCCAAATGTTTTGCAATCTTTTTCTAATTAAATATTGCTCTGATTCTGATTGCTGGTTTCCGAAATTTCATCGATCGATGTCCATCAAAATTGCTTATAAAAAATTCATTTTCTTGACATATCATTTGATAGATAGCCAT